ATCTTTCCGCAGCGGTACTTCGGCTATGCCTAATAACTCCTTGAATTTATTATGTTCTAAAATACCCAATACTTTCATTAATCTATTTATTAGTATCAATTTCGTCTCCAAATATTCGATATTAAGTATCTTCTTTTTAATAATCTCCTTCCTTAATTAGTATCTATAAATATTTATATACTTCATCTTTATATTAGAGGTAGGCGTTTCCTCTATAAGTACCCTAATAGTCTATTGGTTATTATATTATAGAGTAGGGATAGGGTTCTCTAATAGCTTTACCCCTAGAGTTGAAATTAACCGGTTTATAAAGAGAGTTTCCTTTATTACTTTTTTAACCGTATATAATTTTACTTCTGTCGTTAATATAGTAACCATAGTCTATTTAGTTGTTCCCTAATGAATTATACTACTATATAATTTAATAGTAAGCTTTTATAAACTCTTGCGGTTATTCTTATTATTAGCAAACGAGGTATTAGAAGTAATTTTAAAATTTATTATTGCCGTTAAAGTAGAATCCCTATATTTTCGTTATTCGAAAATATTATATAACCTTTTCGTTAGTAGTTATATAAGTAGGATTAGGATTATGATTATATCGAATTAAATTATTTAATGGGAAGGCGGTATTTAATCGAATATTAATTACTACATATAATCATAATCTTATATTAATTTAGTAAATATATATTTTTATATAGCTAGTAATACCTTTATAAGGGACTAATTCTTTGTAGTTTATAGGTATTAGAGTAAGTCAATAATTGGATTTAAATAATTTTAAAATTTTATTAATATATACCTTTTAAAACAACTAAATCTATCCCTAATCTCAATTACGTATAATTTCGATATTTAGAAATTATTAGAAATTATTTCTTCTAGTTAGGTAATATTTTAATTATAATTCTATTATATACTTCTTAATTCCCTCTATCTTGCTTTTATTAAATATAAAGACGATATTATCGACGTAGTAGAATATAAGAATATTATTCTTCTTTATAATATAGGGGTTTTTAAGAATTGCTTCGAATTCTATCGATTTAAATATTCCGTTGAGTTCTCGTTGCTATAGTAAGGGTATTCGTTGGAGATTATATAATACTTCATTTAATTTGAGTACTTTACTGGGGATTTAATACTTAGGCGATATACGTATATAAATCTCCTTATTAAGGAAGGTATTAATAAAAGTATTAATTATATCGTATTAAATAAATTTAAGGTTGAAATAAATAATTAGAGCGATAATAAATTTAAATAATTTCCGTGCTAGGGTAGAAGTATACGTATTTATTCCCGTCTTATTTTACTAATCCCCTTTTACGACGAATCTTACTTTATATTTATTAAATATGTTATTTTTATTGAATTTATAAGCGTATACTTATATATAGTCGAGGATTTATTTGCTTCTTACCTACAGTACGCCCTCGTCGATTTTAATTTACGTTTCTATATCCTTATAATTTCATAAATAAGTTCCTTCTACTTATTTAAATAATTAACTAAATAGGTAGTTATTAAGATTATTATAATATTTGGGTATGATTAGTAGATTCCGTTGGTGAACTCTATTGAGACGGCTATGTTTCGTAATTAACCGTTGTATTTCCGCCTTAATAATTATTTTCCCGTTTATTTTAACTACTAACTATAATAGTTTACTAACGTTAAAGGTAGTTTCCTACGGTTTGTACTAATAAAAGTGCTTATTAATAGTTCGGTTAATTGAATAATTAGTATAGAGTGTGGTTAGTAGGGTAAATGGAAGTAATGGGTATAATCTTATAATGTATTCGATGGATATTCTTTTTATAGTGGGCTGCTGAATAGCGATTTTTTACAATTGATTGCTCTCCTCTTAGGAATCTTTTTAACGTTATTCGTAGTTTCGATCGAGGATGTTTGAAGGGAGTGGTTTAATATTTATATTATTGATGTTATTTTATAGTCTATAACCTTCTTTCTTTGGTAATTCGGATACTTTCGAGGGTTAATTATACGGTTCGTCAATTTTATTAAATAAATCCGCGAGTTCTTTACTATTTACTTGGAGGTCCTCTTTTAATTTCTTAAGATCTAAATTATAAATAATCTCTTTATTAAAAATTATATCCCTAGTTTAAATAATCCGATTTGTATATAAATTCTATATATAATAAATCGAAGTCGTTAAATAATCGAAGAAATTTTTTTTTTATACTTTAGGTAGATATTTTTAACGCCGCTACTCTTTCTTCTATACGGTATTTATTATAGTAAAAGCCTTATAGTTATAAACTTTGAGGTAGTTTAAATTTAGTTTACGAGTTTCTTATTGATTATTTTATTATATAATATAAGTATAAAATTGTTCGAAGGGAGATTTCTAATTATATAAGTAATGAGGAGAATAATTAATGAAGTAAATTATTACGTTAGTGATTTCCGGCTATAAATCTATTAGGAATTTCGAACTCGTTAATATAGTATTATATCTTTCCTTAATAATTCCCCTTGAACGCTCTACTTTACCGTTTTATATTTGTATATTAGGAGTAGAGGGTTTAAAGTTCGTTTTTTATTATGATAATTTGTATTTGACCTTATTGTTTATAAATTCGTTATTATATTCAAAAGTTTTAATTTTAATATTGTATCGGTACTATAATATATTAATATAAGATATTAGCGTAGTAATTATAGTGACCGTTTAACGATTTAATAAGTAACAATCCTAAATATATCCGGACTATCGATAGGTGATAAGGAGAAGGTATTTAACCCTGTTAATTCCTTTATTAAATTCGAAGAAATTAATAGCGAATTTTTCTCTAGGTCTAAAACTTCGGTTTTTAATTATACAATTAATTTATTATTTAATTTTTACTATCGCGTACGCGTCGTATTTGATTGAGGGTATACTATATAGTTTTTAACTAGTAAGTTTAATTTTATTAATATTTTAAAGGTAGTTGATTATTTAGGGTCCTGGGTAGCCGAATTGTAAATACTACATTGCTACTAATTACTTAGAAGGGCGTTTCGTATAAGAATTAATCTTATAATAGTATATTATAAACGAGGCTTTAGTAAATAAAAGTAGGATAGTTTTGATGATTATTTAATTATAGATAGTATTTAGATAATAAAAAAATAAACTATTAGACTTTCTTAGATAATTATTTAGTAGTTGGTAGTCCTAATAGAAACTTTGTCTTTGCAATTAGAAATAGAAAATGAAATTAGTAGCGAAATTAGGGTAAAAGGCGACTTCTTTTAGCCGTAGCTTTAAGGGACCGTTCTTACTCTTAATAACGATATTAATTTCCCTAAACCCTTTAATTAATACTTAGGTATCGCCAACCTATAAAGAATTATCCGGATTAATATAATAAAAATAAAAGAAACGAATAATTTCATTAAGTATATAAAGAAAATTATTGAATTTAAATATTATTAAATTCTTAAAAGAGTAAATCTTATTCTTAATTTAATATACTCCGTTAATTTAAAAGGTCATTCTATAGGAAAAATTTCGAATTGCGATAGGTAATTACGCGTTCTCCTCCTTTTTAGGAGCCTTTTCTTTACTATTATTTTTAATTACGATTCTCGTAACCTTTTTAGTAAGTTTAGGGTCTTTCGCGAAGTTAACTTTAATAATACGTTGGATAAAAGGGAATAGCTTTATAATATATTTTAGCTTTATATTTAAATTAATGTATTAATAATTCTTTAAAGAGTATAGTCCTCTCTCGTATACTTTATATATAAGGATATTAATTTTTTTACGCGGTTAAATTTCGGTTTTATTCGATTAGAATTTCCTTTTTCTTTTAGAGCCCTTAAGTTTCTTATTATTCTTACTTTCTTAATGAGCATCCTTATTATTAGCGGTTTTATTTTAGCCTTCGCTATTATATTTCTAATTATTATATTCGATATTAATTTCGTTAATACTAAAGCGCTACAATATCCTCCTTTTCTAGTAATAACCCTACGTTTAGTAGTATTAATATTATATTTTTTAAAGTTCTTATAGACGTCTATATATTTAAATATACTATTAGTTATCTCCTTATCGAACTTTTAAGCGCCTTTATACTACTTAAAACGTACGATTCTAATTGCGTTAACGAAATCAATATATTAAGAGCTAGCAACTTTAGTCTCCCCTATTCCTATAATTTATCCGTTATTTATAGCGGTAAATTAAGTTTGAAGCTAATTAATTTAATTCTTAGGTTCTTTCGTTAGGATAGCGACGGTTTTATAGTACTACTTCCTAGCTTTAATTTATTTATCGATAGCCTTATAATTAGTTATATTTTTGATATTCTGGTACTATTCGTTAATTTATTATTCTTCTTTTATAGCGCTATCTTATAGTCCGTAATTAATTAATAATCTTATTTAAGTACGTACGGCCTTATTATTAGTTATAAATTCCTTTTAATCTTTCTTATTATTGGGGTAGAGCGTAAGCTCCAATTTAAAGATTTATTTATTAATTAGGTCCTTTTCGTTAGTGAAGGTATTAAGTAGGATTTCGTTTCTAATACGATACTTAATAGGTACCTCCTAGAATTCCCTAACTTAATTAATAATAATACGGACGGTTATTCTATTATTAAAAAGGATAAACTCTACTTTAGCCTTATTAATACGAGTTCTAACTATTTTTATAATAGAATAATAGTTAGGATAAAGCTATTTCGGTATAGTAAGCTTTTTGATAGTATTTTAAAACCAATTCTTAAGTACGTCTAAATTACATTTTAATTAGAGTATAGGCTCCTAGCGGATCTAATCATCGCTATTTTTTAAATAGGCGACGTTCTCCTTAATATTATTAATGGGCTTTGAAAAAAATATTGTATTATTTTCGTATTGTTTATTATTAATTTGTAGTACTAATCATGGTATTGATAGGGCGCGTATTAGATTGTTAATTATTAGATTTATTGGTATAATCTAGTTGATTGATTCTATGTATTTAATTCGAGCACTCTACTCTAGAAGGTCTGGGGGTTCTGGGGGTAACCTATATTTGCCAAGACCTGTAAATCAGGTGGCTGGGACTCTGGCATCTAACCTATATCTGGGTAGAATGCTACCCTGGAATCTGACACTTACTGCCTCAGGGGTTTTAAACAACTTGATGGGGCGGCTCTCAGTGGACAACTCTCCAAAGAACCTGGAATCGTCGAATGGCGCCTTGAAGGGTAACGGTACCCGAGAGCCTGGTCAAGAGATCTCTTTACCCCATGGAAATACCCTGATAGGTACTAACCACTCAGTAGCAAGACAAGAGGAGAGAAGGCAGAGACCAACTTGACATAACACGCCATATGCATGTGAATAGGAGCAACTGAGCAGCACATTGCCAACTCTTTTCTTCTTCTCGGACATATACCCTTCAAGAGAAGGAGAAATCCTTTCAGCCACATTCTCGAAGGATGCAGTGCTGTGTTTCGCAGCGACACTCGAGGTTCACCGCATCGCCTATTGACAATCCGTACAATTTTACAGCGTAGTATTGAGTCGTCAGCACATGCATGAGAGGAAACGGCTCTGCATTGGTCGTCCAATCAAGCGGGTCGCCCGGTCGCCCGAGAGACTTCGAACGTCAACAAGTCTCAAAAAACACAAAAACATGTCTGGGATAGGGGTGCTCCTCAGTCATCTATCTGCTCCTGTGATGTATTCAGAGCAAATACCTCCGCTGGGTACAACGACGCATTTTCTCGGTTCCGCGACGGAAGGACAACACTTTGGTAGTCGAGCGAGGTGTGGTCGGCCTCTCGATTCGAACAACCACGATCTAGGAACCAATGAAAACATCATGTTATCACGTAACCATCCGATCCGAAGTGGTTACCAGTCAGGCGACGGTTTGGCCCCCTTTTGACTGCATTCCGCACAGGATAGATCAATCACGGGTGGGTACGAGATACATTTCCGCCTACGACTCCATCGCCCAGAAAACGAAGCCCATTGAGGTGCTTTGACCTCATCTCCGGAAGGCTCCTCCATGTCTGGCTACGTATCGATATTTCGCTCACGAGCAAAAGAGCAGTTCGGATAAGCAAACCCTCCAAGGCAGATCAAAGTAAAAGTCAGTATCTTACCACCAGATATCGATCTTGTGGAGGCTCTCGGTTGCTAGGCACATGTAACTGAATGCCTGCAGCTTGCTGCCATCCTGAATGGCTGGTTTTAGCCCACATATCCCACCACTCCCACGTACCACCTAGCGCTAGGTCATGATCCTTTGCGAACGATATATTCACTCGAGTGGGTAGTTGACATCTACACTACCTACCTTTTATGGCTGTATCTCAGCTGCTTACTGATACCACAGAGGCCCAGATTGTCTAGTGAATGTGTTAGTTTAACGCAGTTGAAGTAATGGTATCTCGGATGTTCCGACAGTATACTACCAGAAATGGCGGCCATCAGTGATTTTCCTCTTCGAGATGGGACTCGGGATATCAACCGGCCTAATGATGGTCTTTCCCACATCTGTCCCTCAACTCCGTACCGACAACCGATATAGTAAGGTGTCTGATAGCAAGTAAAACCGACCTGGCCGGAGAAACGGCCAGCGTTCTGCCAAAGGCGCCGGTCTCGAGATGCCAGACGTTTCATAGCGTCTTGGAGATAACGATAGTTTTTATGTTCTTCAGCAGGAGATGGGCCTTTGTAGCCCTCCGATCGCCCACCCACACCATCGAATTTACTCTTGACCGGATGTCTCCATCATCGACCATCGGCGATGACACGGAGGCGACCGTTGAATTTCATGCCAATGGACAAGAAGACCACGGAACCGCGCGACTATACTACGCTTCGGTTAAACGACCAAAAACAACATGACATTCGTTTCATACCCTTTTGGCCGAGGTCGCCTCTCTCCGAGACCAGTGATCCTGCAGCAATAGCTTGGTTTGAGTTTAGTCTGGTTTGACCGACAGTTCGAACGGTTGGTTAGGTGGTAGGTTTCGCTGCTGTCACCTTTTACTCCGTCGTAAAATGCGTTTCGTAAGTTCGTCGGCGATTGGACCTCGAACAGGAGTTGACCGAACGAGTTGCAGTGTACGTACACTATGCTCAATTTCACTCCAACAGGCAGCAAGCAGTTTCAAAATTTGGAAAAGAGAATACTGGTAGTAAATGGACTGAAGAAGACACAAAGAACTCGTCTCATTCTTATATATTAACAACATCTTCGATCTCTTTCTTGGACTGTGGTTCAAATAAACAGAACAAGCACCCTTGTCTTTCAAGGCCACCTCCCCCCAACCTGGCGGGCGGATAGGGAGACAAGGACAAGGAAGTTCATGTCGCCCTGACAGCCCTGGGACAGCCTGCCTGCTGCTGCCGCCACTGCTTGTGGTGGTGGTGATGGTGGTCGTGGTGCATCATCTCCAGGGGATTATGGAGATGGGTAGCCTGGAGAGACCTGGGTGAATGGACGGATGGGGATGCCAGGAGGAAGGCACGATGCTACCTAACGTTCGCTAGCCAACTTCCCCCCTGCCTGCTCCAAACCGTTCCTTCCCCCTTTCACGTTCCCCAATCTCTGGGCGTACCTACCGACGCCCACATACCGCTGGGATTATGCTGGGCCGGCGGCGAGTGGGTGGGTGGGTGAGTAAGTTGAAGGGACAAGAGAAAGAGAAACGGAAATTTGGTGTAAATGGTTGTTAACTTCCTGTCAAATCAGATCAATCCTTGGCTGAACGAAACGAAAGAAACCGAACGAAACGAACGAACCATTCGTGACATCCTGGACTTGACACCGTACAGTTGAACCTCATTCGGCACCACTCCTCCGTCAGTCCTCAGTCGTCACCCACACCAACGGTAATGTAGGTACCTTCGTATCTCTCTTTCCCAAAATCCTCTCTCTGTGTAGGTACTAAGGCAACGCGACAATGAACCGCTTCCCTTGATACTGCCGACAGAAAAGCACAATAAACACATCCGCACGTATCATGAACACTCCCAAGACACATTTTGCTCGTACAAGCCTCATGCTGTGAAGCCTCAGAAGGAACATGGATTCATGGATTTCCACGCGTGTCATCCATCCATCCCTTTCGATTTTCTTTCTGCATAAGCACTCACGGGAGGGAGGGATGAATAGATGGATGGGTGGGTTGGTAGAAAACGCAGAAAGTATGACAAAAAGAACTGAAGGATCGGTACCTCCTCTACATATTTGCCTACATTTGTTACTGTGTAGAATACATGCATGACTCGGGTAGGTTATTAGCAAGCCACAACCACCGCTGACGCCGCCCATGAAAAGAATCTCATATGATGTATTTATTATAGCGTAATTTGCTTCTTTCGGGTTTCTTGGGCGAATCGGTGGTCAATCCGTCTTCATCATATCTTTTCTATCATCCTGTCATAGGTATACTAGACCCAGAGCCACCGTGACCGGGGAAGACGGGCAGATGGGGCCGCGAGTTTCATGGATACAAGTATGGACTCGCCACTCAGTTCTATTTGTACACACTTGCGCCTTCCAGCTTTCAATGTCTTTTATGTTTTGTTAGCGGAGGACGGACAGCGAGCAGACAAGAAGACCTCCGTTATTCATACTGTGTATATCCTCTCTTACAAGCCCGTTGGGGGTGTGAGAGGAAGAAGGGCTCTACAGGCAATGGCAGTACCAAGCGTCAAATCCATCAAAGACCTGACTCTTCCAATTTACACTTGTTGGTATATAGCTATGTAGCCCTAGGTTTCTTGCGTATTTACCTGCTGACCTCGACGCCAGGCGTATTCGAGTGGCCCTCAAGAGACAATCAAAGGATGCCTAGCATGGAAGATAGGTAATGTTGGTATGGATGAGTGTTGTCTGGTGTCTGGTGTCATCTCTGTTTGTTTTGAACAACACATTTCAAATGCCATCATAATATGACAGCGGTGAGTGAGACGCCGTTACCTATCAACCTCCCTCTCTACCTTTAGACCTAGATAGTGGGAATATCATAGCATAGATGTACTCGATGGAACAGAATGCCAATGAGCGCTCTCGTATGTTTACTGTAGAACGGTCCCCCCTACGGAATCAGGAAGTCGGAGACGAAAGAAAAGAGAACAGGAATGCGCATTGATTGTTCTCGATACCGTATGCAAACAGTTACAGGTAGATGGATTTAATTTTCAACTCAATATCGGTGACCGAAAGCGGTCACCAGAGCCCTTCTTTTCGGCCCGGCCTTGACTTTTTCTTCGCCGGTTTGGATGCCCGGAGGGAGAAAGAAAAAGTGAAAGTAAAAGATGTATTCGAACCTGTACTGTGGTAAGTAGTAATTTCTGCTATAAGTGCCAATGAAGAAAAGTACCCTAAGGTACCTCTAGCTAGCGAAGACGTGGCCGAAATCTCAAGAAAGGAAGGAACCTTCGGGCAGTGATGTGAGCGATGACAGGAAAGGGCCAGCCCGAACAATGCAGTTCCCCGTTACATAGTACACTCTCCTCAAAAGACAAGACGTATGTGATACTGCACCAAACCACGCCCCCTGAAATCCCGTCAGTGGTCTCGTGATTCCATTCGACGGACGTCAACCTTATCCTCTGTGTGTGTGTGTGTGGTGATCGATTGCCTCCCAGACGTGATTACTTGCGTTAGGTACCTACGCAGGCTCGCAGGTCAAGCAGATCAATAAGTTTGACCCAGGTACTTGTAGCCTTCCTACCTACCTACGTTCCTTCCCTTCCTAATTTACCTACCGGAGCTAGAGGTAGGTAAGGTACCTTACTTACCGCACATCGCCGCAGCGCCTCGGTTGTGACGACAAAACATTTTCTCATCGGGAAGCCGACGGCCGGAAACATGCATGATGCTAATATAGATAGATGATGAGGGGAGGTTGGCGACATGATGGACAGTAGCAAACATCGCCCATTCACAAAGGCTAAGGTACCTTACCTCCTTACGTACCCGCCCTTTTGTTTCTCCGTTGATGGCCTGCCAGGCAGGCGGTGGCTGGGATTCATGGTTGTCTGGTTTTCTGAAGATGAGATACATGGGTTACGTGTTGTTGTTGTTGTGGGTAGTCGGTAAGGTAGTTGGAGGTAGGTATTTACGGGAATACCGTTGACACACATAGGCTGTCGAGTGCGCCATTGTAGACGAGCAGGACGAGGACAAGGAATTAAGAGGACAAGAATACAAGGAAGACAAGCAGAGAGAGAGAGAGAGAGATGTCGGTAAGGATCCCATGACCGTTTGGAAAGAGGCAGAAAGCAGAAACAGAAACAGAGACAGAAACAACGGCCGGCGTACCCTCGAGGTCTGGTTCGACTCAACGCCACCGTGACCATCCACACATCAATCCAGTGCAGGGTAACAGGTACCCATCCGTCGTCTTGTCTCAGTCAAACGTAGGTCGCAGACAGCGACGCCCGCAAGGACGGAACCAAAGGAGAAGGGCTAGCGCTTGGGGATGAACAAGTTCACACATGCGACGCGCCTTAATCTCTGAGTGTCTTGAGACCCCTCTGAGATCTTAGATCCCGAAGACGGGACAGGTAGAATTCTGTATGTAGGAGTTAGTAGGCGTGGGAGAAAGAGAAAAGGTTAACAGCGACAGGTATCTGCAAGTTAAAGAGAAGAAGCAAGTATGAATCTACCGGTAACCCGTGGGTTGATTGAAAGGTTGGTGATAGAATGAATTCATCAAGTGGTGAACGTTGACCGAGGACAACCCATTCCGTGCTATCAGCACCGTTCCCAAACGTAGAGGATAGAAGTCAATGTCGAAGTCGCGCAGACACACAGACACGTTTGAAGGACTCTGATTCACTTCTTACTTGATAACACAACATCCATCTTCCTGGATTGTCGTAGAATGTTGTCATTGCGTACCTCTACCCAGGCACGCATCTACAGGGCAAGCAATGATCAACTGGTGGTCGACATGTTTGACAGCGCGTCTTGCAGTCGCTGCGTACAAGGCTGCCCATCAAGGTAAGAAAGTCCGTCAAGAATCAGGGAAAATTGGAAGGCAGAGCATGGAATACTCGATACACCAGCGACGTCGGTGGCTTGCCTTGTTCAACTAGGTGATATATCTGATCAGCATGGTTTGGGTTGTGAGTGAACCGGGCATGAGCTCCTTGTTGACGTTCTTGTTGGCCCTTGTGTCGGTCCTTGTAGCCGCCACGTACAGGGAACAGGTAATCTCGAGATGGTCTAGTACATCTCCTTCGATAGGGAATGGATGACGGCACTTGAGAGTTGTGAAGGTCCTGGTGGTTTATGGTTCGAGCAAAGACCATATGCACTCAGTTGGAAAGGCAAAGCACAACGTGCTTTGGAAATTAAACAGAAGAGTAACTTAGGTGGGTAAGAGAAAGGCTTGTTGCTACATTGAAACAAGGGCAATTAGTCGAAAACCTTTAGGCGGTTACGAAATTTCACAGTGATAATGGTGCTTGAGAATGTGATGATGAAGAAGTAGTCAGAATGGAAAGTAGAAATCGCTCCACGGTAAAAATTGCCCAAATATCTCGAACACTTCCACTGTAATTGACGAAGCGATCTCCATCCAAATCAAGAACCTACCTGGGTAAATCGACTGTAAGGATCATCATAAGGAGAGTAACTTGGTCCATAACAGACCGATAACCAGATTCATATTGGGGTGCTTGTACCTTTAGCTGGGAGATAATACTAACTATTCCTACTGGAAAGTCCCCGCACAACGAAGAACACCAAGGAAGAACACCAAGGAAGAACACCAAGGAAGAACTGAAGAGAGAAGTGAAGAGAGAAGTGAAGAGAGAAGTGAAGACAGATTGAGGAGAGAAGTGAAGAGGGGACTGATGAGGTTAGGGCCGGGTCATCCTCGGTTAACTACCAACAAGAGGAAGGCGAGTAATAAAGACCAGCAGCTATAGGCATGTGTCGTTTCTTCGGGATGCCCCAGATGGCTGGCTAGGCGTCTTTGGTTCTAATAGGAACTATAATACAAGACTGACGTTCGGGATACCAGTAAACATACTGGGAGAAGTGTTTGCCGGATTCTAGGTATGACTATGTAGTGTTGCTGGCAATCCGACTTGGAGTACTGTGGAGGGATGCCATGATGTCTATCCTCCTTCATGACGCGCATACCTTTGTAGAGATCACCCCGAAAGGTCTCAAGTGGTCTCGACTCCTAGGTAAGTGATAAAGGAAGAGAGGAAGGAAAGCTGAAGCAAGGTTTATTCAAAGTGAACGAGTAGAACAGAAAGCAAAAGCCTCCAAAAAATGTATAGCCATGCCAGAGCCGTTGCGCCTGTTCCAAAGAATGAACTAAAATGACTGGGTATCATGACGTTGCTTAAAACCGAAGTGGGATGCTCTTGTCCATTCGCCCCTGATTCCAACTAGGAGAAGCCAGCTACAACTCGTCAAAGGCTCTGAGCTTATCAGCTGCTAACGTTGCTGGAGATATCCACGCTGATGAAGCTTCCCCATCTGACGCCTCTGCTACCACCGTTGCCGAACCTCCAGGTGAATCCATTTCTTGTTCGTCGTCTCCTTTCTCTTGTCGTTGTTCTCCCCCGGTATCTTTCAACCTCGGCCCCTGCCCCAACAGCTCTCCAGTGCCAACCAGAGTCACGTTCTTAAGCGTGTTCAAAGAGTCATTAGCAAGCTTGTTGGCCGCCATCACCGCCCCTTCCACCGTAGCCGCCGAATTCTCCGGCGCAAACTGCGACCCGACAAAGATCAACAGCACGAGGAAGATGACACCCGAAGTCAGCACCCAGAACGCCTTGAGCCGTCTGCGGGTGCGCTCCTGCCACTCTCGGTCGGCGCGCTCCCAGCTCTCGATCCGCTCGCGGACCAGGTCAACCCGCTCGCTAAGGGACTTGATCCGGCCGCGGCCGACGTAGACGCGGTCCTGCAGTTGCTCGATACGCTTCTGGTGGTCTTCGAACTGGCCGAAAGCGTCGAGCTGGGAGCTGACTTCGGTCACGAGCTCGTCGGCTTCCATGGTAAAATGCGAGGTCATGTCTTGGGAGGCGACGGCCACCTCCTTGAGCGCGAGGATGGTGCTCTGGAGGACGCAGAGTTTCTCGAGGACGGAGTAGTAGGTATCGTCGAGTTGGCGGGTCGTGTTGTTTGAGAATTGTTCGAGGTCCTCGAGAGACTTTTTCAGGCCACTGCATACGTTGGAGGTCCTTTGTTAGCTTGCGAAAGTCATGTCTGGGATGTCAAGAGGCCAAGGGGATAAGCAGAGGGACTGGAATTTGTTCAACCAACTTTTCCCGTGCAATGGCCTTTTGGCGCTCCTTGGCGATTTCATCCTCTTTTAGCAGGACCCTTCCACCCGGTATAGTGTTCGTAAGTACCGCCGTGGCTACCGAGGGGACGCTGTCATCAGCGGACGGGCTCGCATTGAGAATGCTGGCTCTTCTGCTCGCATTAGGAGTCAGGTTGTTCGGCGTCGACATGCCGAAGCCTTCGAAAGAGAAGCGACCTCGGGCGGTGGATTGCAGTGTCGTTATTGCACTCTGTATATCGAGATTCAATCCATCGCGGTCCTTCCCCTTTTCGCGCTCCCTTTCTCGGTCCCTGGCCTTGTTCATGTCCTTGTGCTTTTCCTTGTCTTTCTCTTTCTCCTTCCCGTGGCGGTCGCGGGATGATCGATGGCGATGCAGATGGAGCGAAGACGGCAATTCGGTGATGGAGCGGGTGATTTGGTGTCGCGGACGATGTGGAGAGTGGGATCCTGGTTTGAGCCCTTCGACTCCATTCGGGGCATTCGGAGACATGACGGCACTCGAGCGGCTTTCCTTTTCTTTATCGCGCTTTATCTGGTGATTCGGGGGCATAATGATGCGTAATAACGCCAGATTGGAGGACCTCTACGGGTAGGCAAGTGGAGGTGTAAGCCGGGATGCAAGGTCGACGCCCCGAGCTTATTACAGAGTGTGCATCGCGGTGGGGACGCGGCACAGGGGACCAATGTCACTGAAGCCTGCCTCACCATCGTTGGCGGCACCCGTCCAGGCCTGTACAGGGGTTGGTTCACTGAGCATGTGAGCTGAAGCAAAATAATCACAAGCAGTATTGGTGAGAGCAAAGAGTCACATGGAAGCAGTAGGTTCCGAGTGGCTGTAAAGCCATTAAGAATAATAATGATAAGCCTTTTGTTATGTTCCATGTAAAAATTGCTTGGGGTATCAGAATATTGCTGTCGTTGTCACACGCAGTGGTCGTTGAGGTACGCCTTCCTATAAGGCGCCGTCTTTCCGGGTTGTTTCCCATCCATTCGTCCTGTCCGCTGAGCTTCTCCTGGCAAACCACGCCTTCCGTGGCTGCTGCGGACTTCCAACTCCAATTATGCCATGCCATGGATCATAAACACTCCTCCAAAATAAAGTAATGCCGTTGCCATCGAACCAGCCGAAGAAGACGCCGCGCTGCGAATGGCGTTCGGGATTCGTTTCTCGGGCGTTGGTGGAACGGCGAAGCCGGTGATTCGGTTCGTTACCCATCGGTGGACGGGAAGGAGTGAGACGTGGTGTTCCGCATGTCCTGAGTGCCGTTCACGATCTCCTCGTTCAAGAGTTGATAAGCTTGTTGCGCTTCTCCTTGCGCTTGAGTCTCTCCACCCTCTTCTTGTGCATCTTCTCGGCCATCTTCTCGTAGCGTTCCTTCTCCTCCTTCTTCGCCCGCTTCTCCTTGAGGGCTTCGATGCGTCTCTGTGTGTGTGGAAATGGTGGGTTAGCCCCTGAAAATTGTTTCCAGAATGATGTTTTCAACCAACCTTGCGCTCTGCCTCCTTCTCGTCCTTAAGCTCCTTCTCCTTAGCCTTGACGGCCGCAAGCAACTGCCTCTCCTTTGCGCGTTTCTCGAACGAAGTCAAGCCGGAGCCGGGACGGAAGGCCTTCTTGGAGGCGTGCCATTGCTTTCCTGTAGGAAAATGGCAATTAGTGCTTCGTTCGACGAAAAGATGGTAGAATGCGACGGGGAAAGCTAACCATTGACCCTCATGCCAAGGGGCTTGGAGGCCGCCTTGGTCTCCACCTGAGACGTTGTTTGTGTTGTTGTGGTAGTAGAAGACATGGTTGCGAATAGTTAAAGTTGACCAACAATTCGTGTATTGGCTGAATTGGATGCAGAACGTTGTGACGGCGATGCCAAAGGCTGCAGAAGAACTCAAGGCGGTCAGCGAATGCGGTCGCACCCAAGCAGAAAATTTGGACGGCAGAATTGGTTATCAGGCCCGTTATCGCAACGTTATCGCTGGACGGGTCCGGGTAGAACAGGCGTTAAAACTGCGGGGCGGACCCTCGTCACCCTTGCTTCCAGGTGGTCCCAGGTCTCATCCGGCCGGGATGTTGATGGTCGATTGAGACGGGAATCTGACTCTGAGGGTCTGCCCCGCAGTGACAAGATACAGTGACTCAATCGGCTGTTTGACGCAGTGGGAAAAATCATATTTAGCCTCGAGCTGCCGCCCGATATCGCCTTTGTCTCTCTTACACGGTCAGGAACTGTAACTGTCGAGTAGCCATTTTCCGCAAGCACCAATCCGCCAAAATGTCCGAGTCCAAGGGTCGCGTCTGTCTGTAAGTAACACCTCGAGACAACAGCTTTGAGTTACGTCTTTGGTGATTCCACTTGTGGAACAAGCTGTTCTGGAGCTCTGATGCCTGACTGACACTCCCTCCCGTCGATAGCGCCTATTCCGGAGGTACGATCCTGGAGCTATACACCATAGAGATTCGCCTGCCATGAATGTAATTGCTTACCAATTGACCACTGTATACAGGTCTTGATACCTCCGTGAGTTCTTCCTGAAGCTTCCCCTTCGTCTTATAGAACGCATTGACTGACATTTGTTGCTGCAGACCATCCTCTGCTGGTTGATTGAGCAGGTAGAGACAACCAACCCCCCGCGCTCCCCTCCGAGCTGTGGTATTGACCTGAGTGACTCGATAGGGCTACACCGTCGTCTGCTTCCTCGCCAATGTCGGCCAGGAGGAGAACTGGGATGAGGTCCGCGCCAAGGCCATGAAGCTCGGTGCTGAGGAGATGGTGATCCTCGACCTCCAGCAGGAGTTCGTTGAACAGCTCGTCTTCCGTGCCATCCAGTGCAATGCCATCTATGAGGACCGCTACCTCCTCGGCACCTCCCTTGCCCGCCCCGTCATTGCCCGTGCCCAGGTCCGCGTTGCCGAGCAGTACAACTGCGAGTTCGTCTCCCACGGCTGCACTGGCAAGGGCAACGACCAGGTCCGCTTCGAGCTTGCCTTCAAGTAAGCATATCCCCTCACCTCTAGCTCCATTGGAAACGCAAACACTAACGCGACACCACAGGGCCTGCAACCCCGAGATCAAGGTCATCGCTCCCTGGAGACTTCCCGAGTTCTGCGCCCGCTTCCAGGGCCGTCAGGATCTCCTGAAGTACGCCGCCGACAAGAGCATCCCCGTCTCCTCGACCCCCAAGGCCCCCTGGTCCATGGATGACAACCTCGTCCACTGCAGCTACGAGGCTGGTATCCTTGAGGACCCTAACCACACTCCCCCCAAGGAGCTCTGGACTCGCACTGTCGACCCCCAGGACGCTCCCAACACTCCCCAGGAGTTCACCGTCGTCTTCGAGAAGGGTATTCCCGTCAAGGTCATCGTCGATGGCAAGGAGACCACTGGCTCCGTTGAGCTTTTCAAGCTCCTCAACAAGATCGGCCACGACCACGGTGTCGGCCGTGTTGATATCGTCGAGAACCGTTTCATCGGTCTCAAGTCCCGTGGCTGCTACGATACCCCCGGTCTCACCATTGCTCGCCTTGCCCATCTTGATCTTGGTACGTGCTTCTCGTTTCTGACCCGGCGTGGATGTTTTTGACCGCTAACCTCGGGTTCTACAGAGGGTCTTGTTATGGATTCCAAGGTCCGTGAGCTCCGTGATCAGTTCGTCACCATCTCTTGGTCTCGTCAGCTGTACAACGGCATGTACTTCAGCCCTGAGCGCGAGTTGTAAGTTGCTTTCCACTGAAACTGAAGCCAGACGAGCAATCACTAACCGATATCCCCCTACAGCGTCGAGAACTCCATCATCTTCTCCCAGCAGAACGTTACTGGTGAGGTCCGCATGATGGCCTACAAGGGTAACGCCTACGTCCTCGGCCGCAAGTCCGATGCCAGCAACCTCTACTCCGAGGCCGATGCCTCCATGGACTCCCTCGAGGGCTTCTCCCCCATGGACACCACCGGTTTCATCGAGATCCAATCCATTCGCCTCAAGAAGTACGGTCTCCAGAAGATCAAGGACGGCAAGCCCCTCACCCAGTCTTGAATGTCGACAAACATGTCGGAAAAAAAGATCATAAAACGGTGAAAAGGGACGACTGGAGGTTTCTTTGCGCACGTCGCCCCGGGCAGATGGCCAGCCTCACTCGACACATAAAGCTAGCCATATTCAAACCGCTTCTTGAACATGAAGCAACCATGGAAGGGATAGGCGCTTAAAGAGTGGAGGATTGCCTTGGGGCATAAAAATATATGGTACATATAGACAGGCGGCTCGAAATATAAACACCCCATCCCTGCTGCATGGCGTCACGAATTCAAGACGAGTTTCCACATGGTGATGGTTACGTAGACACCTAACAAGCGTGTTTTCCAGTGCCGAACTCCGTTGCTTGCGACCCACGAGGAAGAACCATGTCCACAGCATGGCGAAGCGTCTCGCCTGGCCTTGAAACCTGTACAGTTTCCCTACAGTGGGCGATATTTTCACCCGACGATAGCCTCACCCAAGCAACAAGCAATGAGGCCTCCTCCGCATCATCCGTACACTGCCTTGTACCTTATTAGTGAAGCACTGAAGATCGATCGGGGCATCGGTAATAAGCTTTCTCCGCTTTTGTTGACCCCATTTCGACTTTTCCCTTTTGCGCCATGTCCACATCTCATCTCCGCGCCCTGCCCTGCGGAGAAGGGCGTTTACGTAAAGAGAGGAACAAGGTTACAAGGGGACCCAGCAACCACTACCAAACAGAAAACGGTAAACTGAATGAATGAATGAATCGTGAACGAACCGACCAACCAATATCGTTGCGGTTCCGAGTGATTGGGGAGATTTGAAGCAAAATTGGAGATTGGGAATGTCGTCATTTGTTCAGCCTTGGGGGATTCAAGACGTAGCAAGAGAAGGAGGAGAGATCATGATGGGCCCAGATACATACAGTACTGTGGGAGGACAGAAGTGAAGCAATACCTACACCTAGCTCAGCACACAGTAAAATCCGGGGAAATGTTTCATGGTTTCAGAACAGAACAAGGAGACAGCAAGGATCAAAAGTCCCGCTCGGCCCTGGATGGAAGCGTTCGAAATGGGTTTGAGCCGGGATGGGAAGAGGACCGACCACCTTTGCTGGGTTTTGTGTGTCTTTTGTGCACATTTTATGAAAGTCGAATCAAGTCCTTATACCAGCTATACCTAGGGTATGTGCAAGAAGTTTTGGCACAGCCACGATTAACATGCTCGCTTCGAGGACTGTCTTTTACGCTTGAGGAAACGACGTCGCTGTACCCTTCAGGGATCCGGCCGGCTTTTCATCGTTGTTGGAGTTGCAGTGGCTGACGATTATCTGCCGGATACAGATACGAGTATACGACATCTTCCACTTGTTATCTTGAGCATCCTGTAAGAAACACATGAAGAACAACCATCTTCCCATCCCGCCGTCCGGCTCCAAAGAAGAAAAAGAGGGCTGCAATAATGAGTCGCTATATCGCACTCTCGAAGTTGGTTTGTCTCCCCTTCTTCCCCGGTCTCCCAGTTCCGCGTATAAAAAGAAGAGGACAAACAATAGACGAGGACGGACGCCCCCGAGGCCCCCACTTTTGCAACCTTGATCAGGGCTGCTCCTTGTCATGGAGTGAGGCACGGCACAGTTTCGATCGATGAAGCTCTCGAAAGCGAAGAAACGCAGCTCTCACTGTTCACAAACATCGTATGGACACGCGCACGATTAGGCGATGTACAGTTTAGTACGGGTACTAGGAATGTGCAATCGGTCGGCTACGGCCACCACTGCCGAAGCGAGCGACGATGCGCGAGATGCGAAATTCGGGAATCAGTACGGGATCGCGTAGAGTTTCGTTTCATTGGAAGTTTGATGATTTCAATAGACGACGTACTATGTACGCTCGTACGGTATGTGGGCAGGATAGGGCTGTTGCTGAACTTGTTCGTGTTCGTGCATGTAATTACAGTACTGACCCAACCCAAGGATGGCAGACAGCCCGATATTAAATGATGATGATAGTGATCATGAAGGAAGTTGTTGAAACATACCTCTATAAGATGTGTTATCGCGGGTTGATATTGGATTTCTGTTCGAAACTCAACCGCAGACAAGGATCAGGAAGGACCCCACCTCTTTCTTCCCGTTGCTCTTCCCTCCTTCCAGCTAGAACCCTTTGGGATGCTCTTACTGGAGTTCTAGTGTACCTTAGTCATGGGAGAACCGAACTTCTCACGAACCATTCAATATGATCAACATTCACAAGAACTACACCACACCTTATTCCTGGGCTGGGTTCTCCAAGCCTTACTGGCTGATTCATTCGAGTTGTGAACCAGTCGCTGCCCTCCCTCCCTCCCTCGATACTTTCGCCTCCGCGTCTGTCCATCCATCCTCTCTTTACACTTCTCGGTTCGTTAAAGCCAGCGTCGTAGTGCTTCAGGGTTCGTCGAAACAGAGCACATCACATTTCCTCCCGCATGCCCCGTGGGGGAAACACAGGTTGACGATGATAGGCCGGCCGGGCCGTGTTTTGAGACCTGGGATCGGGCATTCTTCTCGACCAAATTTTTACTTCTCCAGCATCGTCTGCATTCCTTCTAGTGTGCATACCACACGTGTACCGAGGGGTGAAAAAGACCCTTGGTTTCTTCTCCTTTACTCGAGATCGGATTACCTCTACAGAACGGCATTTGGCTGTTGAGTTGGGACACGAAGAAGCATTGCCCCTTTCTTTTCTTTCCCAAGGCCCTGGGGTCAGTGTTGGGAAGCGCTCATTCGCCCCTTCCCAGGTTCTCAAAATGTCGATACGTACAGTATGCCTTTCACGAACAGACGAGGCATCCCGCCGTCTCTGCATCTCTGCGATTGCAGTACCAAGGCGATCTGGTCTCGGTCCTCTGATCTTTTTGTGTCTGACACAAAATCTCTTTCAGACCACACAATTGGCTGAACTGCCGGATATTATAGTGCTTGCATAACAACCGTCGGTATACGTATACTATAGTGGTTAAGTTTTTCAAATTCCCTCGGGATGCTGTCCACTGCGGTGTTGTATAGGTGGTGGTAATTTGCCCGAAAGGGCCGAGGCGAAGGATACACATTTCGTATTCGTCCGAGATTCTACATATTGCTATTTCGGACTCTGCCCCAGTAGGTGTTGCTGAATCGATGAATGACTGGCTAGGAAGAGACGACGAAGACGACGGGATCGATGGCGAGATAGGCCTCCGCCGGCCTGCTTTCGAAGATGGAAAGAGGCGGGGAGAAAAAAGACACACAGCAAAACGGGACCCCCGCGCGTGCAGAAAGGCACGGCGGACGTAGATCGATCCGTGATCCATCAATCAATCAACCGATCTCAACAGCGGTTGCCTTCCTGCAGTAGTGTACAGTACGGGGTAGCAAGTTCGCTCTAGTACGCGCAGTAGCGGCTTTTTGACATGCATTCGTCCCCATCGAGCAGGCACTGTTTTTGAATGGCCAGTCCTGCCAGTGAACCACTATCACAGTCCACTGGACGTGATTCACGACGAGTCGACGACGCCAGGAATGCCCGGTTCCCTCGTCTGAAAATGGAAAGAAGAACGTGGAGGAGAACCCTACCACGCCTCACGCCTCACGCCTCTGAGGGAGTCTGGAGAGTCTGGACAACCGCCACAAATCGAATAAAGGGAGGGGAAAGACGTTTCTACGCAACACATATCACTTTTTCCCACTCACAAGCCACTGTCATCTTCCCCTCAAAAGAACCCGTTGGCCGGTCTCAATCGCTTTCCATTTTCTCCCTGCCCGCCCAAGTGCCCTGCGTCTCGTCGGCTGAATGGCTTCAGGGCCTCTGTGGCGTCATGCACAGTTATCCGTGCACTTTGCGAACATCAAAGTGTGGTGGGCGCTTCGAGCTCAGAGTGGTCAGTGAATTGCTGAAGCTAATGCGAGTGTTTAGCGCCAGTGGTTGCATGGCATGGTACCTTAGCCCAGGGCACGCCAGGGCCCGTTCGGGTTCAGAGACTCGATCTCGTCGACGACTTCAACCGAACCGAGGGAGGCGGCTTTTAGGGTTGTTCGACACGAGAATAGTGGCGTGGATGGCTCAGGATTGATCAGGACTGGAGTGAGGAGTCAGCGGCCTCGACAGGTCTCTTTTCACATTCTCACATTCCGCAAGGTTCCTGATATCGCAACATTTTCTGATAACGGAACAGTGTCTGATGCAACACCAAACACACACACACATCCCGCATCATATCCGCCGCTGCCACACCTGAAAGACGAACGACAGAGGAGTGCCAGAGGGCCATTCTTGTATCCATTTGCCCGCCACTCCCCCCGTTGTAGCTGAGGTGATCATTCGCCTGGCCCGAGACGTCGTCCGTTCCCATTCATAATGGCAGAAATGGCCAAATGTGTGGCTCGGGAATAGCAGTACATATGGTTCACTATGTAAGATGAGCAAACAGGACGAAGCTCAACGCGGAAAATAGACCACACGAGACTTTTCCCAGTCTGGCACACACATGATATTCTGGGAACTGATGAATTGCAAACGAACAGATGTGCAACGAGCAAGGTAGGCAGGTCGTAACTTGTAACGACAAAAAGGAATGTTTGGAAGCGTGCAAGTTGAGGTGACCGAATCACGCCCGTCCCTGACCTTCACCGCCGCCCCCTGCAATTCCTGGTCCTGTACCCCGTAACCCCGTAACCCCATGCCTACTTACCCCGTACTCTTCTTCATCGGGGATGCTGGGTAAAGTCGGTCGGCATATAGTTTTCACTATAAACGTTTCGATTTCAGAAAATGCCCCTGAACCTCGTCATGCACCGAGCACCGCCGAGCACCGGCCGGTTTACGTCCATCTTCGGTAGAGATAGTGGGGATGATCCCCCACACACCTTACTAGTTTAAGAGGTGCTGCGCCAGGGCAGCAAGTTGCCAAGGGGTGAAGTAACTTGTGGTTGAACATCCTCGTCCGCATAGGGACGGCAGGGTTAGATTTGAGATGAACAGCATCAAAGAGCGCCATTTTAATTGCTAAGGGGGTACCTGACACGCACAGCAAGGCCGTACAAGGGAGGCGCAGGCTGGCAGCGTGCCTGGTAAAGTACCGGGATATCTTTCACATCCAACCTTACCTACAAACCCCGCTCACTGGCTGGCTGGCTGGCTGGAGGTTTTCGGTGTGCTGGACCGTCGGAAGACGATTTGCCTGCCACGGGTGGTGGGGGGTTTTACGGAGAGTTTAATAGCGAAATAACCGTGTCCATCCTGAACCATAGCCGAGAAAAACAAGATGGATATGTACCACAGTAGAGGAAGTGGACAAGGGGGATGCTGACGAGATTCAGGATGTCCTACTTCCCCACGCTACCTGCCACTCGCAATGGGGAAAACTTTGGGTGCCGCTGATGTGAAGCGACGTATACGGGAAACAAGCATGGGAGCAGACGGGATGCCGAGAAAGAAGTGAAAGCTCAACAAGAGTCGGAGACTGGCTCGGCCTGGCCTTGCGATGAGCGATGATAAGTGATAGTGGGAAGGCGTTCGCCCAGGACGCTGTGCAACTGGTGGACTCACATCCATAGTATGGAGAACCCTGTTGCCCACCACCACTTTAGAGTTCTTGCCAAATTGGGAGGCAACATGCGAGCGATATGGAGTCTGGAGTCTATGAACTCTTCCGGTTTGGATGGATGACCAGAGTTGGCGAGAATGGTTATATAAGACTGTTGTGCCATGGCTCACTGCTTGGTCTTGGTCTTGGTCTTGGTCTTGGTCTTGGTGTTGGGCACCGGGATGGAATGAAGTTGCCGGAGCAGAATCTCAAGAGGAAGTTGAAAATCAAGAAATCTGTCACTTTTTCGTTGCTCCCGTGACCATGTCGGACCTGCTCCTACCCTGATTCCTTAGCTGCTCGTCACTCTGGATACAGGTTCGTGAATATAGCCCACATGCGTGTGAGGTGCTGTCGTGCTGCCGTGCTGCCGTGCCTTTTGAATGCTCCAACGCAACGCAACCACGGACTCCCGCTTGCGACTGAGCGGTGCGTATGTATGCGTGGTGTACAACAACTGTTGCATCAGGTTTCTCAGAGAAGGCGGTGGAGGATGTGTCCCAAGGTCGCCAAGGTCAATTTCCCCTTTCCGCTTCTTGATCTCTGGCGATATGGATGTTCCCTTCTTGTCTTTGATGCGAGTCCCAGCTCCCGGTTCCCGTCCGTACTCCGTGCCAGCATCAACAGCCGCGCACAGAGAGGCTCGTTTTTAAACTTTGTCCACCGTAGCATATCCGTACATGCCACTCTTGAAATCCGATGTCAGACCTTGGGGTTCTCCTTCCGAGGCTGGACTACACTACCTGTACTTCTTCTACTTGGGAAGGAGTGGTAGACAAATGTAAGCTCGCGAGGGTTCATGCTGCCTTACCGTACCTTGTGTAGGAAGTGATGGTATTTGCGATGCGAACCATAAGACAATCTCTTTAGCTGGGGAGCTGGCATTGGATGTTCGACCTCAACCAGTCGATTGCTCATCACTCGAACTTCTCTTCGTCTTCACTTCTTCTTTTCTTCTTCTAGAAAGATGGAAACCAGCGCACCCGCCCTTCTTTCCAAAGACGTCTCCCCGTTTGCGGATACCGATGGGCGTCGTAGCGCCGGCTGACTGGCTGCAGGTGCTGCAAACCCACTTGGCAATCCACCGCGAAATCCATTACCCCTGGTTTATGCTGGTTTTGGGAAGTTGTGCAGGAGTGGATGCGCAGCGGACGATCCTGGAGCCAGGCACACTGGCACCGCATTGGCACGCTCTGGCCAGGGGAGGAGCAAGGAACCCACACCCACTGCACTCTGGCTCCAGTGCAGCACAGTGCGGCTGCCGTCCACACCTGGCACCTTTCAGTTCCCTTCCCTTCTGGGGAGTTGCAGGCGCACCCGCTGGAGGGTGACTGGAGGCACACCCACGCTGGAGGACACACTGAGCACCAGCAGCGGCCAGGACCTGGAGGCGCAGATGCGCGGCTCCCGTTGGCTGGTGTGCCTTTGAGGCCCCACTTTGTGGTTTTTCTGTTGTTCGTTCTGCTCACCCTGCCGTCCATGGACGGTCCGCTCCCACGCATCTTCACCTTTCCATTTCCTCACTCTTTCCACCACCCCATTCTCCCTCTTCACCATCTCACCGTCGTCACTTGTCGTCGACCACCACCCTTCCTCTTGGTTCAATTCCAGCAGCAGATCTTGACCGATTTGCGCTGGCTTGACCGTCCACTCCTTTAACCAAAACTAAAAAGTTGTCGTCGCCAGCGTCACTTTTGCTTCGCGTCGAAACTCTCTAATTCTTTGTTGCCCTGCCTTCAGTTTTCTCTTCTAGTCCTTGGTTGCTCGTCTCTGATCTGACTTGACCATTGGTACGTTTCCGCCCTTGCGATTTCAGCTTGCGTCATGATGGCTTCCATGACTGCTTCATGAATCGCCTTTTACTTGTCCAGCCGTCAATTGCCCAATCCGCAGTCATTCACCAGGCATATGGCAATCAGCTGTATTACACCTCCCTCGTCGCTGACATTGCCTACTCTATAGAGTCTCAGGTTCGCAATCCATCGCCTTGTAATCCTTTAATCGTCACAACCCTCCCGACCTCACCACTACTTTCGCCAACCGCAATTGCGTCGACGTGCTTAACAACCCCCGTCCCCCCCGGCAATTAATGTCGCTTACCTTCAACTAAGTCTTCGTTGTTTGTGGTGCCGCGGTGCGGCTTGGAAAAAAAAAACATGGCGGCCATGTTGGGTCCCGACATGATGGTTGGATCGACTACCAATGCTTTTGATCATTCAACTACCGCTTCCGACATGACGAACAAGACTCCCCGATCTCAAATTCCGCTACCCAATCCGCCCTTCGTCTTTCCTGCCAAACCGGCTTCTTCGGCGCCCTCATCGTACTCCCGCGCTACTGGAAGACGCCCACACTCCGCTATCGAGCCACAGCTTCCGAGCTTCTCCCTTGGTGCTGATATCGACAAGCCTGTGTCCAGATCACCTGCACTCCCGGCCCTTCCCGCATTCTCATTCAACCCCGGCAGCCCCTTGCCTCCAGCAGCGCTCACCGAGAGCTCGTTTCTCAGCCCTACTCTTCCTCCATCGGCCCCTTCTTCACCAATGGCAATTCCAACCCGGCCCGGAGGTCATGGTCATCGCAGGGGAGGTAGCGAGTTTGTAGGAGGCAGCATTCGTGGCGGAGATTCGATTACGGTCAACTTGGGTTCTAGTCCTACCAAGTCAGAAAGTGGCTTGGCTTCCCCCTTGTTGCAACCAAAGAAGTCTGCTGGTCGCAGAGGTCATGCTCACCGGAGATCTGCCGCAATTTCAAGCCACGACTTGTCTTCTATCATCCTCCCTCCTACCGCTAGAGAGGCCAGGAAGGATAGCCCCCCGGCAAGCCCAGCGACTGTCGATCCTCCCCAGGAACTCCCGTTGGTCAGCGATGAGAAGTCGCAGCCTGAGACGACAACAACAGCAATTACTGTTTCCGAGGTTCCGGAACCCCTTGCTCCAGAGGTATCGACACCACCCGTTGAGGAGCCAGTAGCTACCACGGAAGTCCAGGAACCCCCGAAGCCATCCGTCCGTACAAGGGTTGGTTTCTCTGATACTCTCGAATACATCCCGAGACCTGTGTCGCTTGTTTCTAGCGACACCTCCAGTACGGTTACCGCTCGTCCCGGCCACTCTGTTTCGGGTAGTATTTCGTCTGTCATCTCCATCACAAACGTGGAGCTGGGCTTGAACACTCTTTTGGCCTTTAATTCGTCGCCCGAGCTCAATGACCGGCCAAGTACTGCTGGAGCCGTCCTTGAACGGGCCGAGACAGGCCAGGAGCAAGCCCAGGAGGTAGTCTCACCGAGACGCCGTGGTTCCATTCCCCTTCTTGGTTCGATTCCGCCGCCTTCAGCATACACGTCAGCGACTCCCAGCCCCACCAAGTCCTCGAAAAAGTGGTCTTTCTTCGGGAAGGACACCTCCTCAGCTTCATCTCCTACGAAGTCTTCGGAGTCGCCCAAGCTGTCGGCATCAACAAAGTCCACTCCACAGCGCTCCCCGGGTCTTCCGGCCCAAGAGCTCCCCGAAGAGCTGGCGGAGATGAAACCGCTCACGAAGAAGAGGAGCAAGAAAAAGAAGAAGGTTAAGACGTGGGCCGGGTCCATTCTGTCTCGGAAGCAAAGCAAAAAATCGCGAAATGGCAAGGGACTGCGGCGGACTCCTACACCCACTTCTCGGCGTTCCTATAGTGTGAACGAGTCAGATGTTGATATGGTCGTCGAGCCGGAGGCAGTTATGCCTACAGTTCTGGTGACTGAATCAATCGACCCCACTGCAAAGGACTGGGATTCATACAAGCCAGCATCCCTTCCTGACGAAGAGACGTCATACCAAATGATTGATTTGGACGCAGCATTGGGACCATTCAATACGCCTCTCCCTCGCAACCCGGAATGGGAGGCGGCGCAGAGAGCGGGAGGTACCGTTAAGAAACAATTGCACAGCGCTGCAGGTTTGAGGGGCTTCACTGGCCCTGGAATGCATTATCACAGACGTGCTGAGAGTGCACCCGAATTGGTACCTTTCGAAGCTGCTCGGTTTGGCTTCCCTCGGTTCGGGAGCAGCTCGACCATGGCTGATGTCTTCGAGGAGGACGAAGAGGAAGACGAGGACGAGTCGCCCAAATCTACTGGACAGTCAACCCCTGTTATGGAGACTCCCCTGGCCGATACTTTCGAGGAGTCGAAGGCTTCTGCAAAGGGTAAGGATGTCGCGAAGCCCACTGCTGATGAACAACGGGAAACGGCAGCCGAATCTGTTGCTGTACCTTCAGGAGTAAACACCGACGAGGATGGCAACGCCTCCGTGAAGTCTTCAATCCATATAGGGTCTTTGACCAGCCAGTCTCAGGATGCGCTTCAACAAGAGACATCCGTCACTGATTCTCCCCGTCCTAGCTTCAACGGATATCAGAACGAGCTACAGGCTAGACACAGCTTCTCGGGGTCTGCGACTCCTTCGCCCAGGCAGACCTTCCGTCCCAAGGACCTTGCTGCAGTTGACTGCTGTCCTTTGACCTTGCCTACTGCTGCGTCATGCGCACCGGTCAGCCCTCACTCGATGACCCCGTCGTCGGCCTTCCCATCTCCCAGGTCTCCCTTGTCCTACGATACCCATCGCATCTCGACAGCGCCGTCATCCATCACTGAGGACAATTTCCAATCACTGCTTATGGGCGAACCTGGGCCGGAGGTACGGATTTCGGTGGACGATGTCCCATCATTGACCAGCGCGGACTCGTCGATGACTCGTGAGAGCTTTTTTGCGCAAAACCCTCAAGCTAGGCAGCTATCCTCCAACACGCTGCCTAGGCCTGCCTCGTTCAGTGCCGCTGCCTTTGGTCGAAGGCGATCGAGTCTTGCTAGCCTTAGTCGTCTTGTTAGCAGCTCGCACGGTGAGCGCAGCAAGCTCTCGATGGAAGTTTCGGTGAATGATGACGGATCGGAGAAGAAAGTCAAACCCAGCAAGACAAAGCGGCTCGGCCGGTTTGTACAGTTCTGGAAATCAAAGGAAAATGGCGAGGCTTAACGATGTTTTCAGGCGAAACCAGCTAGGAGCATGGGTGTCAAGGCTCTTCTGCTTTCATGTGGCGCTAAATAAGGAATTGGGGGATCTAGATGAGATTTACTCAGGGGGCTTTTCAACTTGACGGATAGGGCGTTCTCTTTCTTTTTGACGATAGCACGAAGGACAAGATAACACGAGACGAAGGGGGGTAGCAGCAGCAATCTTGGTCACACCAGAAATTTGTTTAGGGGACGAGACGTTTATTTCTCAAGGAATGATGTGGTCAAGGGACATATGATTCAAAGGTGGACGATGACAATTTTTTGTGATTCTATGGACATATCATTGCAAATGTCTACGATCAACTTAGGGCGGAAGGTTTTGACCAAGTGAGCTTCAAATGCAAACACAATTATTGGGCAATTCAAGTCATGATACCATGCGCTTTCCACGTTGATATGTGCCTTCTGTCTTCGTGCTTTTGTCAATGCCATCGGGGCAATATTACCGTCCCAAAGAACGAACAACACTTCAGCCTCGGCTTCAACGATTCAAAGGGTCCTTGGGTTTCAGCGCGCCACAGTGACACCGCCAACGGGTTTTAACCACTAGGAATCCACACCTACGGAGCCACGTAGCGGTAGGTGCAGCCGCCGGAAACGCCGATGCGCGCTGAAGGTCGGCACATTGCAAGTCGAATCCCGGGCCGTCACCTCCAGGGGTACCGCCTGCTATCAGCCGCACTGGCAGCAGCACCTCGGTGGGCACGGCACCTTGAACACCTCGGCAACGTCAACAACACCGAGCATAGACGGAGGTACCGACTAAACATCAACAAACAATACGTGAGCCCTACGCGACCGACGATACGCCCTTTTACGAGATCAGGCTAGTACTGAGCCGGTTTTCCCAACAGTTACCGATCGCTTATCGAGGACCGTGCACCAAGAGTACAAGCTTTGGACACGGACATAGCTATACCGACTTGGCGATCATACGGTCGACAACTACGGCGCGAGAACGATCGGCTTCACGACACGATTACCCACGACGACAAACGAACCCAGAGTCCAAGGGCTCTCGCGCATTTTGACCAACGGGCTTCGAACCGGGGGTTTGTCACCGTGGATCATTGAGAATACCTACTGCATAGTGTTGGCCGTGTCCAGCTACTACCGAGTACCGAACGGACGACCGACCAAGCAGTGGCACAACTGATACAACCGACTGATAGTCACCAATTTAAAGCTTGACTGGTTTCATACGTGTCAATCTTTGCTCTTGGATAAACGAGTCGAATCAAGTCGAGGGACAAGCGGCGGGCAGCTCTATAGGAAAAGAGCAAGCAATACATTACCGGATCAGACATACAATCATTACCTATACGAATCACACAAAACAGAAGCAAAAACACCATCCATACACAAATTACAGACAGACAGAACACACACATACGCACATACGCACATACACAATGTCCAACCGCAGCGCAGCCAAGCGCCTAATCAAAGAGCTCACGACCTGGAACAACATCGAAGCCAAAGAAGAGAAGGGCGTCGAGCGGTTAGGTCCCATCAACGACGATGAGCTGTTGGTTTGGGAGGCCGTGATTAACGGGAAGGGGGTAGGTGGTGGTTATGATGGTATGTCTTTTCTTTATTTCTTTCTTTTCCCCTCCCCTCTCCCCTCTGTCCCCCCCCCCCTCCTCCTCTCTCTCTTCCCCCTCCAACCTTCTTCTTCCCCGTCCCCATCCCTATTCCCTTTGGTACCCCCCCCTCTTCTTCCTTCAGTCCTTTCGTGTCGTTACTAACAAAACTCCCAAAAAAAACAGAAGGCCGCTGGCTCCTCCACATCACCCTCCCCCCGACCTACCCCCTCCACCCACCAACCATCAAATTCATCACGCCCATCGTGCACGCCAACGTAGCCCTCACCACGGGCGAGATCTGTCTGGATTTGCTCAAAGAAGCATGGACCCCCGCCTACAGCGTGTTGGAGTGCGTGAGGGCTATTCGCTTGCTGCTGAGCTGTCCGGGCATCGATAGTCCGCTTAACGTGGATGTTGCGGCGCTGATAAGGCAGGGGGATCATGTGGCGGCGAGGGGGCTGGTGGAGTTGTGGGTTGAGGAGGAGAGGTATGAGGGGCCGTGAAGGAAGTTAGTTGAATTGGATAGAGGGCAGGGATGGATGGGGATGGTGGGATGGAGGTGAAGGATGCGTTGGGATGGACGGAGAGATGGCTTGGGGGGAGGGGAGAATCTGAAGAAAGGATATGGATGGGATGATTGTTATGAATGGGGGGAGGGGCTGGATGGAAAGAGGTGGGATGGGATAGACTTTTGGATTTATTTTGGATAGGAGCTTAAGCGGCTATGGAAGCTTTTATAAAACATACAAAGAGCAATGACGAGTATGATTTGTGGCTCTAGTCTAGGAAACAGATGGGATTTCATGTTTCTAGACCTTTATGTTGCTGTTGTTGTAGCGAATCTTCCAAGACAAGATCCCACAGTCAACGTTTGTGGGCTTGGTATAGGTCATATCCTTTGATACATACCCTGAGATATCAGTGGCAAATAGAAATGATACTCGTCACAGCCACGTTGCTGCTATGTATGATCTTATAGAGACCAAGCCGGAGCTAACGGTCCATAATGTTTCATTGCGTTGTGGCACAACAGCTGGACACTTGTGCAGTGACTTGTCATGGTTTCTTACTGTGTATACACAACTAGAAAGCGACATCGCTCCTCTTTATTGGAGATGGCTCACGGTTACTGTGCTGGAGGAGAACTGCTACGGTGGTTAGTTACAAAGAACAGAACGGAACGATATACCAACCTAGGACTTAATGCCAACAAGAAACCTAACCGCAAACCCCCTTACTTTTTATTATGCTATTACTTCAAGAAAGATGACCTTCAAGAGTCCCCCATATGCCCTCGCCAATGGTCTAGTATATATCGTGAGAAATCGTCGCTGTATGTCTTCGAAAATCGACCAAATAAAGTTTGTTACATGATTCTTTGTCCTGGTCTCTCAGGAGCTTTTGGAGTTAGCAAAGAGCTCTGCTCTCAACAACGAGCGAACAACCACACTCATCACACAAGGTCGCGTCTGGCGCATCACACATCAGACGTGTATTCGATCCGCGCCCTCCCGCTGTGCACTTTTCGCTTCCCGCACTCCTCCCCGAAACCCAAACTCATCAACAAATTAAAAGAACGCCACAGCTGCTTGGCCCAGTGACTCTGGGAGATACGAGATTGTACACCAACTCCCTCTCCGAGACAGATAGTTCACTGCTGCTGGCTAGCCAGACTCTTGCCTTTGGTCGTGGAGGTCGCGGACGAATGAGGTATAGGGCAAAGGTTGAGTAATCGTCTCCGAAGGCCCAGGCAGGATTCTGTTATCGTCAAAGACAAATTGTCATTGCGTCAAGTGGCGGCTTAGGATACGCGGTGTAAGACTCGATACCGGCCAATGTTTCACTCATTGTAGTGATAAACCTAATGATTCAGCGTTAGTGCGACGTTTCCCACCTTGACATGGCGCACAGCACACAAAACACGCACCTTGTAATTGGGCAAACCAGTCGCTTGCCAGCCCAGTCTTTTGGCCATTTTGGCAAAGCCTTCCGTCTCGATCAAGTGGTAAAAGGGGAACGCGGGGAACATGGCTCCGTCACGGTGCACCTCGGCCTTCACCAGCAACGCCGTACCTCCTACGCCATCCAGAGGCACTTCGGTGTGTATATCCGCACCCGCCTCGTACATATAAGCCATGAGAGCTCGATAGGTTGCCATGTCGGCGTAGCCTTCGAGGAGTATGTCGTCCTTGCCCATCTTGGAAGCCAGCTCCTGCGCGGTGGGGCTGTCCTGCCAGTTGTTGAAGTCGTAGGGTCGTTCGTCCATTGCCTTCTTCTCGGCGTTGTAGAACCGCTGGAAGCAGTTGGGCACCGTGAGCGGCTTGCTGTGGCTGGCAAGATCCTGGATCAGAGTGGGGGGTGTCTCGACGATGTCGGCATCCAACCACAACACCCACGAGGTGTCGGGTCCGAGGGTCGTAAAGAGGAGCGAGTTGCGGGCTTTGGCCATGGCAGCCCGTCGCGCCTTCTGGTTTGCCATCTTATGGCGCTCGCTCTCATCCTGGGAGGGGATGGGCGGGTCGAAGTCTTGGCGTAGGATGATGATGCTCTTGAACCTTTCCTTCTCATGTCCATGCTTTTGGATTTTTGCGATCTGCTTCTGGAGCTCAATGGTGGCCGCGTTGCCCTCCTTCGTCTTGGGCAGAATAAAGCCCAGGGTAATGAGCTCATGGGGGTACGAGAGCTTCAGCAAGTTATCCCAGTACTCCTGGTAGAAGCGGGCCATGGGCGTAAGGACAAGAACATTCTCGCGGTTGGCGACGGGGTCGTTTGTGATGGTGACACTGTTGAGGTTGTAGCGCGTTACTGGTGGAGGGCCTGCCTTGCCGCCGACAGAGCTTGACTTGCGGAAAGGTGATGTCGGCGGAGAGAGAGGATGCAGCGCGGCTGTGGCCTTGCGAGCGGCAGAAAAGTCGGGAGCTGAGGGGGATACTAGAAGGTAGAGGATGACGATGACGAGGACGATGCCGACAGCGATCGTTCCCGGGCTCGTCCTCTTAAGACGAACCGGCCCCAATGGACGCGCCATGGGATGTGTTGAGGATATATCAAAGAAGAGAAGTAATCATATAGTCGTCTGGGTTCGAAGGTTCGCGCGTTCCCGTCGTCCGTGTCTCGGTTGTGGTTGTAGTCTCTTCGGTTCGCTATACGATAGCACTATTTGAAGCGCCCTTTCTCCTAGCTTCGTACGCGGACGAGAGCTGTGCGTGTAAATATTGTCGGCCGTGGACTGAAGAATATCAGAGCCGGTGTCGGTCGGTGTTGTGTTGGACACTTTTGGTCGGCCACTCAATTAAGTCGTGGTCGAGGGGCGGCCAGGGGGCATTGGCAACTCGAGCGGGATGGGGAAGTTTAAGGGACGAGGGAAAACGGGCTTCTGGAAAGAAGACGAGGCGCAAACTGCGAATGGCCAGAAATGGGCGGGGAAAAGGGGTTTAGTGCACTGACATGGGTCAATGTAATTCTGAAACGGTACCAATTCCTGTCCGCTGGCTCTGGTCACTCCAGCAGCATTTTGGACACCTTCGTGGTCTCCGTCGCGACTGGCAATCGTGGCAGGCAACTGGCGACACTCCCGTCTTGCGCAACCGTGGAAAGGAAAGTGAGAAGTGGCAGCAACGACGTCGATCTTCTCCAACTCCAAGCCGGGGGCTTGCTGGGCGAAGGAGGGACAGCGATTGGGGACCCTCTAGGCTACAGTGCGAACGCCGGGCATCTCAGGCCGTCAAGGTTGGAGGCACAGGGGGCCGCAGCTGGTGACGGCAGCGGCAGCGGGCAGCCCACGTCAGAGCAACTGTAGCCTTGCCGCAGTACCTCTCTCTAGCTCCAGGCGCTGAGCTCACATTGCTGATTGCCTCTACCTCGAAGTAGCAACAACATCATCAACGAAATCCGAGCTTCATCGAGCCAACTGTTTCTACTTTGCCCCGAACGAATTTACCACACAGTCACACGCGCTTCCCACAGCCGACACCAGCGCGCGCATCAACCATGCCGATATCACCCATCATCACCTTCAAGGCGGGCATTTGCGACGTCGATGTTCGTACCACCCCTCCTCCAAGCTCCCCGCGCCCGCCGACATCTTTCTTCTTGGCTACTTTGTTCGTTGACTAGTCTGAGTATTAACATCTACATTTTCAGCAATCGTCGAAGCCGTACAAGGTCACGCCCCAAGCCAGGCCTGGCTACATCTACCTCTACTCGGACGATGGTATGCGACCCATGAATCTCCGGATGGCGCTGTGATAGCCGACTCCCTTCTGTGACACAATCTCACCGTTTCATCATGCAGACTTCATCCATTTCTGCTGGCGCCCGAGAGATGCCCCTGCGGACGAGCCCGAGCTTGACCTCGTCATGATCCCCGAGGACGGGCACTTCCTTCCCTACGATACCAAGTCTCCTGCCCAGGCCTCCGCCAAGACCAACGGCCGTATCTTCTCGCTCAAGTTCTCTTCCTCATCACAGCGCCATATCTTCTGGCTGCAATCGAAGCCTCAGGGTCCTAACGGCGACCCGTCTTTCCTGAGCCCAAGAGATCTGAAGATTGGCGAGATTGTGGACAAGCTCCTGCAGGGCTACGAGGTGGATGTGAACAGGGAGCTTGCTTCACTCAGCAGCAGCGGTGGTAGCAACCGCCGAGACGATGGTGACGACGAGACAATGGAAGACGTTGAGGGCCACGGAGACCCCAATGCCCACCACGAGGGCGGTACTGGCGGCGCTGGTCCCGATGCCACTGGCGGTGATGTCCGGAGGGAGGGCGAGGACGCCAGAGAAGGAGGAGCAGATGGAGCAAGAGCGTAGGTGCTGTTTTCTCGTCACATGAGTTTTGGGAGTTTGGGTTGCTTTGGCGCGCACATCATTTGATCTACTTCAACCAAGAATGAGCAAGCTACGGCGCAGAGGGCAACAAGAACGGTGCAACTGTATTGTGTACTTACTAGATGGAGGCACTAGAATTTGACATGCACATGGCATCCCTCTGCTTTCCGCAAAATTGCTTCTCCGATGCCAATACAAGTGCTAATATAGTTCTCACTGATAGGGCAAGTGCTACAAATGCCGAGGCGGATGCGGCTGCCGTTGTACGGAACTTCCTCGATTCCCTGAAAGGCACCCAAGGGCTTGCCGGAGGTCAAGCCCAAGCCCAAGCCCAGGGCAAATCCTACCCTTTACTCAACGATCTTCTGGAACCCTCAGTCACGATTCCGATGCTCGATTCCGCCACCGACGAATATGTCGACAACCTCTTGAACTACCTACCCTCGACCGTCATTGTTATGTCTCAGCAAGGTGCCAGCGGTGCTGATGCCATCGAGATTGAGCCTAGTGCCGCGTCTGTTGAGGCCGCTCGGCAGACTATGAGCCAGGATCAGAAGCGCGCGCTCCTGAAGAAGGTTCTTCGGAGCCCCCAGTTTACCCAAAGCCTTGCCAGCCTGACAATTGCTCTTCGGGATGGAGGGCTCCCCAACATTTCGACCGCGTTGGGCGTCCAAGTGGAAAATGGGGGCATGGTTAGAGGCGGAACGGTGCCTCTGGGTGGTGGAGATGCTGTCGAGGCCTTTGTGGAAGGAGTGAAAAAGACAGTTCAGAAGAAGAAGTGAAAGATTTCGGGATCGGGGGAAGAAGCATTAGGAGGTTGAGATTCGTATTGGGAATCAGTTAGGTCTGGGAAACTGTACGAAGGCTTGCGTCCGGAGCTTGAATATTAGGACAACTCAGCTGTACCAGATCTTGATCGCACTATCAAGGACTTGCATATCCAAATCTCAAAAAGTTCAAAATTCACCTAGACGTAAAGGAGCAGTCAGTCACCTACCGTGGTAGCCAGCAGCACCCTTTATCCCGTTTATATCAATCCCTTTGTTGCGTGTAATGCAATCATGCGAGTGCCCCTGTTGATACTAGCAAGGTGATGGATGAGCTTAGAGCAGAATAAATGGATGAACAGATCTTTGAAATGCACCTCGGACAGCGGTTCATAAACAACCACGACGGGTAGAACTGAAGGCATACATACTTCTGACTGAATGACAAGTTGGTACTAGTAATAAGCTGAATTGGTTTACATGTGTGTCATACAAGCACTATAAAACCAACCTATCTCTTGATACCCACGACAAAGCCAACGTAGATATCAACCAAAAACCATCATATACGGTGATGATGATGTCGCATAATGAGCGAAGAAACCCAGACGCAAGCAAAAAGAAAAGTATCGAAAACAGGAAAGGAGCCCTTTCCTTTCACTAGATAGGCATCTTTAGACAAGAAAACTTTCAAGTCATAACTAAAAAGAGTCCAGATCATTCAATCAATCATCACCATGATGCCCCTCCTCTTCGCCGGCGTCCTTGTTCTTGCTCTTCCTGAACCTCTCCTTGCCCGTCGCAAAGAAAGCCTCGACAATCCGGCCATCAAACGCCCTGCCATGCATCAAGTGCACGCACGCCTCGGCCGCCTCCACCGTCGCGAACTTGACGCTCACGATCCCTTCCTCCTCCTCGTCAAACAGCACCACGTTGGTCACGGGTCCGAGCTTGGCGCACTCCTCCCGGATGTCGTCTTTGATCTCCAGCAGCGCGGCCGGGTCCTCGTTGAGTTCTTCGAGAGTGAACATGTGCCGCAGGATCACGACCTTGTCCCACTTGCCTCCCTTTGCTTCTTTGATTGCGGGCCCTAGAAGGCGCGAGGAGGGAGAGGGCTCGTCGTCGTCCCAGTCGGCGAGCTTAGCGGAGAGCTTTTGGGTCTTTTTGATGATCTTGGCTTTGTCTTGTTGGCTGCGTTGGTTGTGACCGCCGCCGTTGTTGCTGGGGGCGGGGGTGGGGTTGGTGATATTGTTGTAGGGGGTCGAAGAGGACGAGCCTTCTCCCTCTGCGCCACCGTTGCCTGCCTTGTCACCACCGCCGTTCTCCCCGCCTGCTGCAGCGTAGTTGGTCTTTTTGTAGCTCATGTCCGCCGCCTGGACGCGCATTCTGCTGCCATCAGGAGAGGGCTCAAAGCGGAAGTCGGTGTCGTCCAGGAGCATGATGGCCATCTCGACCGACTGCGGCTTGAAGAAGACGATCAGGGCGTCGCCCTTGAAGTTGCCGTTGGCGTCCGTGTACATCTTGATGCGCGGGCGGCCGCTGTCGATCTCCTCGGCGATGACGCCGCACTTGCGCGAGAAGAGCTCGGCGACCTCGTCAGCCGTCGCGTCGAGCGGGAGTCCGGTCACGTAGACGGCCGTGTTTTGCTTGGGCTCCCGTGGCGCCTTTTCGCGCTTCTGGTTCTTCGATGGACGGTTGTTCATGTTGTTACTGCTAGCGGAGTCCTGTAGGCGTGCGCGCAACGAGGGAAAGAAAGAAAAGGTCTGGTTAGTGTCTTCCCCAGATTTCTTCTCTCGTCCTGTCCGTCCTCACATCACAAGAGAGACCACACAAAATCATTCATGTCCATGTACTCCTGGGGCACAGCGATTTCTTTTCCTCCCTCTCTCTCTCTCTCGCTTTCACGGCTGCTCCGAAAGGTATCGAAATGGGGGCAAGACAGGAGTGAACGGGTCAATGTTTTCAAGAAGGATGAATGGGTGTTGATGGTGGTGGTGACAGTAGCGGACGCTGATAGGTGCGCATTCGAGCGCAGCTTACCTCTCGGTCGTTGTTCTTTCTCTTCTTGCCTTGTCCTTTGCCTGACTGGCCTGTCTCTGTGTCGTCGTCTCCGAGTGATGTTATGTATGCCCTCTGGTGTTCCTCGATTAGGGCTTCGTCGATGATGGGGAGCCAGCGCTTGAGGCCCTCATCAAACTCGTATTCGGTGCCATCGTCTTGAACGGCAATGTATTTGTTGTCGAGCCTGGAGAAGGAGATGCGCTCGTCCTTGTCAAACTCTTCGGGGTCGGTCGGAAATGTCCAATACTCGGCTTGTTGTGCTTCTTGTTGCTCCATTTTCCTTTCTTTAGTATGCGCGAGGTGAAAGCTTGGGTATTGCGTAGAGCTTGAATGGCTGTGTCGGTTGTTGAAAGGCGCGAGTTGGGTATTTCCAGATGACGTTGAAGGAGGAAAATGCGACCCCGTCTTCGAAGACCCGTTGGAGATTCCATCCCTTGGCGGCGCGGGTCTAACATGCCCTGGAACCTGGTGTGGGGCGTCTTTGGTATGTAACTTACCGTATGCTAGGTGCTTTGTTATTGCAGTTAAGGTACTTTACGGCAATGCTAGAGGTGCACAGCACATCCGCTCATCAGATCCAAAGGACGAGCAAGTATTGAGTCTTCTGAGTGAAGGATTGTAAGTCTTTTTTTCATTCGTTATCATGACCGGAATCAACCCTCCGTATCATGGGACTTTAAGCCATCATCACTTCATCAACGACTTTCGCTTCAGGGAGAAAGTGCTTCATCAAACAAAGAAAAAGTGTTGAACTTTTGTGTTCCCCCTTAGATCCCCTTTTTAGAACCGTTCCATCCATCCGTCCTGTATACCAACCATCCCGAGACAACCTCTTTCTTTTAGTAGTGGTCGTCATATAGTGCAAATCGCCATGTTTTTAAAATCATCAAAGAAAAATATCGCAAAGTTGAGTTATGCGAGAAGGGTATCAATCATAGCCATCCATCTTCTTTTCGAAGTGTTTCGAGGTATCTAGGTTCAAAAAGTTGGCGATTTAGTGGTGGAACAGACGAGTGTTCTGCTCGACGAAGGTGATGCCGAGCTTCTCGGCGGTCTCGAAGACGGTAGCGTCGTTCAGACTACCGCTGGGGGCGGCAATGTACTTGACGCCGGAGCGGTCGGCGCGGTAGACATTGTCGATGAAGGGGAACTAGTACAGCTGTGTTAGTAATGCTAGCGACTGGCAGTCATTAAAAGGCGGGTGAACCTACGAAAGCGTCAGAAGAGACGCAAACATCAGTGAGCTTGGACAGCCACTCGTTCTTCTCCTGCTCGGTGAAAGCAGCGGGGACCTCCTCGAAGAAAGCCTCAAACGACTCGCGCTCAGGACCGTCCTTGGGGACCTGACCGCTGACGAGAAGATCGATAGCATTGCTCTTGTCGGGGCGCTTGGTACCCTTCTTCCACTTGATGCCAAGGACGCGGGGGTTGAAGCGCAACCACCAGTTGTCGACCTTATCACCAGCAAGGCGAGTGCAGTGAATTCTGGACTGCTGACCGGCACCCAAGCCGACTACCTGGCCTCTAGCAGCGTAGCAGACTGAGTTGCTTTGGGTGTACTTGGCGGCAATAGTGGCGATGGTGAGATCGCGCTGAGCGTTCTCGGGGAGAGTGCCATCCTTGGGGGTGATGATGTTGGAGAAGGTCTCGGGGGAGATCTCAACGTCGTTGCGGCCCTGGGCGAGGGTGACACCGAAGACGGTGCGGGTCTCGCTCTTGCTGGGCTCAAATTCAGGGTCAACCTGGAGCATGAGGTAACGGCCACCCTTCTTCTTCTTGAGGATCTCAGCGGCGGCGGGCTCGAAGCCGGGCGCGATAACACCATCCGAAACCTCCTTGCTAATGATGGTAGCGGTAGGAACATCGACAACGTCGCTGAGGGCGATCATGTCACCGAAGCTGCTCATGCGATCGGCGCCACGGGCGCGGGCGTAGGCCTGAGCAAGACCAGAGGTCTCGATACCCGGGATATCATCGACCATGTAGACCTTGCGCTCATCGGCAGTCAACTCAAGACCGATGGCGGCACCGGCAGGAGAGACGTGCTTGAAGCTGGCAGCAGCGGGCTTGCCGAGAGCCTTCTTGAGCTCCTTGACGAGGGGCCAGGCGTTGAGAGCATCGAGGAGGTTGATGTAGCCGGGGGCACCGTTGACAACGGTGAATGGAAGCTTGCCCTCCTTAACGTAGGCAGCAGCAGGCTTCTGGTGGGGGTTGGCACCATAGCGGAGAGGAAGGTGCTGGAGGCCCTGACTAGCATACTGCTTGCGGAAGAAGTCGGAAATGGCAGCATCGTAGTCGGCGGTGTGCTCGAAGGCCTTGAGGGCATAGAGCTGACGGCTGGAGTCCTTGATCTCGCCAGACTCGAGCTCCTTGAGGAACTCGGCGTAGTCGTTGGGGTCGCTCAGGATGGTAACACGAGCGTGGTTCTTGGCGGCGGCGCGGATAAGAGTAACACCACCAATATCGATCTCCTCGACGGCCTCGGGAACGGTGACGTTGATCTTGGCCACGGTATCCTTGAAGGGGTAGAGGTTGCAGATGACATAGTCGACCTTCTCGATGTTCTGCTCAGCGAGGTCCTTCTCGTCCGAAGCGAGCTCGCGGGCGAGGATACCGGCGTGGACAGCGGGATGGAGGGTCTTGACGCGACCGCCCAGCATCTCGGGGGCCTTGGTGATGGCCGAGATATCCCTATTACGGAGAAAGAAGAGCTGTCAGCGCGCTGTCGCCAATGCCTCCATATCACCAAAAGCAACAAACGGGTTCGAGACGAGGGATCCTTACTCAACAGGGAAGCCAGACTCCCTGATCATCTTGGCGGTACCGCCAGAGGCGAGGATGCGGACATTGTGCTGGACGAGGCCCTTGGCCAGGTCGAGGAGGCCGGTCTTGTCGTAGACCGACACAATGGCGATTCTCTGGTTGGCAGCCATTGCGAACCACTTTCTTGCGACCGAGGTGACGGCGGGGGGAATTGGTGGTCGGGGAAGGCGAAGGAAAGCCTGTCTGAGGTAGAACAGCGTGATCGTTGCTACTCCTGTTGCAAAGCGACAAGGGAAAGGGGGGAGAGAGAGAGCGAAAGAAGTGGCAGGGCCTTTGGAATTTCAAGTCGCAGCTCCTCGCCCGAGTACAGTCACAGGTGAAGGTGGTGGAGCGGGCAGGGTGGAGGGAACAGAGTGGGACTTCATGCGATCGCGACCCGTAACTCAATCACATCATGGAGGGGTCGGAAATATTTCTTCGTGCTAAAAAAACCCTACGAGCCTACCCAGGCCTATGGCGGGGTAGAATGGCTGCTAAGGCGAGTGAAGGTCCTCCCGAGTGGGCCCTTCAGCGCGCCGGTCCCGGGTTCGGGCGCTAGCCCCGCAGTCTGCGCAGGGAGGCCCTGATAATTCTCGGTACAGTTGGTCACCACAGAAGTGCAAATTGCCGCACTGCACTACAAGAATTTTGGTTTCTCTCGTTTCTCAATTCTCGTGAACCGTTGCCCGCCTTGTTTCTTCTTTCCTCGTTGATGTCTTGCACGAAGGTTGTTTCAGTGTGCTTCCAGTCGCCGTTGCTCCTGCATCTCGAAAAGTGCAAGCAAGACACACTTCCTGCAGAAGGCTCGTGCGTTTTACATCCTGTCGTCCCTTCTTTTTTTCGGCTGTGGTTTGTGCGTCGACGATCACAACTGCCAGTTACAGGTGCACAGGCCGATCGCCAGCTGCAGGCGGCAAGAGTGCGCTGTAGCGTGTGCAATGTGCCAGTGTGCACCACAAAAGGCCCCTAGAACGGGGTTTATAAGGGCGAGGTTTTGCTAGCACTTTCGCCCTTCGGGGCAATTTGGTCAATGTAAGCAGACTTCCCGGTTCCGTGGCCAAGCGGTATGGTGCGTTGATACTAACAAAGTCAACAGTTGAAACGATACAGAGAAGATTAGCATGGCCCCTGCACTAAGGATGACACGCTACTCAAAGAGACGCTACCAATTTTTTTGTAGATTTTCTGTGATAGTAACAGGTACCTTTTTATTTCCTGCAATGTCCGTCAAGGTGCGCAGAATGACAAAAATGGAGCTTGACCATCTCATGGGGCGTGCGCGAGGAGGTGGAGGGTTCGAATCGTGTTTGTGACATACTTTTTTGGTGTTTTGCTTTCAAAGTGAATCGCCCAGCAGGTCAACGACCAACAGTACCTCTCCACAGAGTAGGAGCATCATCGCGAATAAAAGATATTTCTAGATGTATCTCTGATCTCCAAAGGTCTGGTGTTGCTGGTGCCAGACTCTTCGGTCAACTCCCGAGAACCTTGCTGAACCAAAAATTTTGAATTTTGATAGCGATTGCAGTCGTTATCAATTTATAGCGTAAACAAGCGATCTTTAGCGCCCTGCTACAGCCGACGAGCCGTGGCTAACCTCAAGTAGGTATGGCTTGGAAGTGTCTTTGACTCACCCAGAAGCGCAATCAACATGACAGGGGACAGACATTTTACATTCGCAATGCTCGAAAACCACAGGTCACAATAATCACCGAGCGGGTTATACGCATCCTGAGGAGGATCACCACAAAGGCCATTCTACGATATGTATTGTTCATTTCAAGACGTACATCAACTATGTGCAGGAATCAAACTAAATGCACTACGAACCACCCTTCCAATGCCTTTTACCGTCCTGTTACCCGGCCCATAACCATGCAATGCAACAAAGAGGAAAATCACGAACAGATAGAATACAATAAAGATACATCTCACATGTCGCGACAGCCGGTAAATCTGTAATCAGATCAGCAGCATCAACCACTTCACGCCTAAGGAGCAGCCTGAGTCTCGCCCTCACCCTCAGCGGCCGGCGGCTGCTCCTGCTGCTTCGCGTAGACATTCAGTCCGCTCCTGTCCTCCTTGATCTCCACCACCACCTTATCGCCAGTCTTGATCTGTCCGCGGATGATCTTATCCGCAAGCCTGTTGCCAATCTCGGTGGTAATGAGCCTATTGAGTGGCCTCGCGCCAAACTTGGGATCGTATCCCCTCTCCGCCAGCCACTGGCGGACCTCGTCGGAGACCGTGAGCGTGATGCGGCGATCGTCGAGCCGCCCCTGGAGCTCCCTCAGACGGATGTCGACAATGTCCCTGAGCGCCTCCAGGGCGAGACGCTTGAAGATGATGAAGGAGTCGATGCGGTTGAGGAACTCGGGCGGGTACTGGGATGCCACGACGTTCATGACGGCCTCCTTGACGTCCGGGTGGATGTCGCCTTCGGGCGTCTCCTTGTAGGGGACAATGGGGTTGGCTCCGACGAGGATGTCGGCGCCGAGGTTGGAGGTGAGCACGATGATGGTGTTTTTGAAGTCGACCTTGTGGCCCTGGGCGTCGGTTAGGTAGCCCTCGTCGAGGACTTGGAGGAGCAAAGCGGAGATGTCCCGATGCGCCTTCTCGAACTCGTCGAAGAGGAGGACGGCGTAGGGCTTGCGGCGGACAGCCTCGGTCAGCTGGCCGGCGTCTTCGTAGCCTACGTAGCCGGAGGGAGCGCCGATCAGGCGCGAGATGGTGTGCTTTTCTTGAAACTCGCTCATGTCAAAGCGAACGACGGCGGTCTCGGTCGAGAAGAGGAAGCTGGCGAGCTTCTTGCACAGCTCTGTCTTGCCGACGCCGGTGGGGCCGAGGAAGAAGAAGGAGGCCAGTGGGCGGTTCTCACCGCTCAATCCGGCTCTTTGCATTCTCACTGCGTCGGCGACCGCCTTGAGAGCCTCGTCCTGACCGCGAACGGACTCGCGAAGAATGTCTTCCATGTTGACGAGTTTCTCTATGTGGCCGCTGGACAACTTGGAACACGGGATGCCGGTAATTCTGGAGACGACGTTGGCGATGTCGTCAGCCGTGACGGAATCGTGGATGAGAGAGTTTTCGCGGGTAGGTCTTTCGCCGTCCTTGGGCAACTTCTTTTCCAGGTTTGGAATGATGCCAAATCTCAACTCAGCAGCCCTGCCAAAGTTTCCGGTTCTCTGTGCTTGCTCCAACTCAATGCGGGCTCTGTCAAGCTCTGCCTGGGTTTGCTTGATGCTGTCGAGCTCGGCCTTTTCCTTCTCCCACTTCTCTGTGAGTACGGCGGCTTCACCTTGGAACTTCTTCAGGTCAGCCTCGAGCTTCTCACGACGCTCAACGCTGGCAATGTCCTTCTCCTTTCGTAAGCTTTCCAGCTCAATCTGAATAGTCATGATCTTCTGGTCTAACCGCTGAATGTCGTCGGGTTTGCTTTCTTGCTGTAGGCGAAGCGAGCTGGCGGCTTCGTCCATCAAGTCAATGGCCTTGTCGGGAAGGAAGCGGTCGGTGATGTAGCGGTTGGACAAGGCGGCGGCGGCAACCAGGGCTCCGTCAGTGATACGGATACCATGGTGAACTTCGTACTTCTCCTTGATACCGCGCAGAATACTGATGGTATCCTCCACTGTCGGCTCGCTGACGATGATGGGCTGGAACCGGCGAGCGAGAGCAACATCCTTCTCGATCAGACGGTATTCGGCCAAAGTGGTGGCACCGCAGCACTGAAGCTCACCTCTGGAAAGAGCTGGCTTCAACAGGTTCGACGCATCGATGGAGCCCTCGGCTTTTCCGAGACCAAGGAGAGTATGGAGCTCATCGATAAACAGGATAACCTCTCCGTTGGCTTGTTGCACCTCGGTCAGGACCTTCTTCAGCCGTTCCTCAAAGTCACCCCTGAACTTGGCGCCTGCAATAAGAGATCCGAGGTCGAGACTGATGACCCTCTTGTTCTTGATACTTTCTGGCACCGCGCCCTTCACAATCTCCAACGCAAGACCCTCGAGAATGGCCGTCTTGCCAACACCGGCGCTTCCGATGAGCACCGGGTTGTTCTTCGTTCTGCGTGACAGAATTTGGATGGTTCTCTGGATTTCCGCCGCTCTACCGATGACGGGATCGAGCTTTCCGTCTCGTGCTTTGGCTGTCAAGTCGATACCGTATTGCTCTAGTGCTGGTTTCTCTTCCTCGCCCCCCATGTTCATGCGATGGGTACCGCCTGGGGGGTGTGGTCTGCCACCTGCATACCATCGGGTCGCTATTGTGGGAAGAAGACGAAGAGAGCTTGCTAGAGGAGTGGCATTGAGTGCTGGTACGGTTGCGCCCAGCGCGGGTGCCCGGGGAAACTGGCGTGTTGTTCGTGAGAGAGAGGCCCTCGACGCCTCACTGATGCGCCGAGTGGCAGTCGACAGCAATTGGCGCCTTGTTTGCATTTTGAGACTTGAATTTGTGTTTTATTTTAGAGCAACGACTAGTCTAGATCCAATTGTTGTAAGAGTATGAGATGAGGGTATGTCTTTGTTTTATAAGTATGGCGCTGACGTAGTGCCACTGACCGTTGACATGGATGGAGGTCGAAGTGGAAAGCTCTCGCAACTTCCAGTGGCACGGACGCCGTGAAGCTACCCTAGGGGGGACTCGGAGCTTACAGTAGCTCCTTATCTTATCGGAGCTTTCCAAGTCCCGTCTTTACACAGTATGGAGTCTTCGGTCAGTTCGGTGGGTTTCTGTGCCTGGTCTGTGCACTGTCGGTATTTAATGGACCAGGAAATTTTTCTCGGTGTGAAATCTTTCCCGTTTTGGTTCCTCGTGTGCAACCGCCGCGTTGTGGAAGAAGTCAGAGGGAATGGCTTCAGATTGACGAAATCTGGTAATGCCAGAAATCCACCACGTCTGTGTCTGTTATTAGTGTAAGTTCTAGCACCTTGCTTAATATTCCATTTCCCTCTTCCTACCGGCACTCCAGCACTCCCACGCCCATTCCGTGATGATCGAATTGGTCCGTGTTACCAAGCAGACTTAAGACCTCTGCAGATGACGACGAAACCAGCATTTATGCGACTCTGACCCTTTTGGCACTTTATTCAAATTTGAATCTCTCGCGACTCTTTGTGGCTCCCGAGCTAACTCATACAAATCATAGTTGTTGTACCTTGCACAATCAAGCAGCTCATCTGAAGTTGGCATTTGGCAGCCCTACGGAGCCTTTCCTCCTCACCATCACCGATCATCCGGTGCGTTATTGTCGAGCTGGTTTCAGTAGGTTGCTGGTTCCAAGAGTTGATAGATTATCGAGGGTCTACTATGCAAATACAAGACTGTTTCCTCCAGCTGTTCAAGGCTTTGATGTCGCTTGATTTGTGAACGTAGTGAGGGTCTGTAGAATGCATGCAACATGCCCGAAGGGTCTTTGAATCCTCAAATGTACTTCGATGGACTGAGCTGTACTAAGAACTTTGGACATGAGGGCCATGACCTTTTGATTAGATGTTTTCCTTTCTGGATTATCTCAATTTATATTGCCGACGCCAGTAAAAAAGAATACATGACTGCATACGTGCCTTAAGACATGATGCAGCTGGTAAATGGAATGAATATTCTACATATGCATTCGTGCTCCGGGTTAGGGTTGTATATGGACTTTCAACGCCCACCCCTCGTTTAAGCGCATCTGATTGCTTCCACTTGGTGCTTGCCAAATCTCGTAGCGTCTATCCCCGCCGCCTAACAACGCTTGATGCTAGTGGCCATTGACGGTTTCACATCCAAACCTTGAACCTCACACGCCTTCTAACAAAACGACGCGACTTGAGACGCGTCAGCATATAGACACATAGTCAAATTCAACCAGCACACTTTTCAACTTCAAACTGTCCGAAAAGGCACTTGAGCCAACGCGAAATCATGCCCATGTACGGTGACTTGGGCAACAAACTGGTTTGTACAAGCTCACTGCGTCCTCCCTGGATACCGACACTATCCTAACACCATCACCAGGTCCAACATGCCAAGAGGACACAGAACTTGAGCCATCTTCCACCTTACCAGACCGAGCTTGTCCGCGCAGTGGCTCGAGAAATCCGGGATCTTGACAAGGACGTCGCCAGTTTACTCGAACCTTTTCAGGGGTCCTTTGATCCTTCCACGGAACAGGCTACCGCATGCACGCTGCTGGTCAACCACCTGTCTATGCGGAGGAATAAGCGCTGTCTGCTTGCGTATCATCGAACTCGAACAGACAAGCTCGAGGAGCTGGTGTGGAATGGAGCCGATATTCTCGATCTTGCCGGCCAGGCGACAGGAGTGCCCAAGGGCGTGACGGTTGGCAATGAGGGAAGCGGGACCACCAGCAGTCTTAGTCCCCAGGAAGAGGATTACTTTCGCCAGTTCGGAGATTTGTTGGCTCTATACAAAGGCCAATGGACAGATGTCGATCTCACAGGCAGTCTCGAACCCCCACGAGACCTCTTCATCGACGTTCGAGTATTGAAGGATGCGGGGGAGATCCAAACCGAATATGGGTAAGCTAGACCATATGATGGCATGCTGTTCCAGGCTAACTAACGTCTGTCTAAAGGGCGATCAATCTGACCAAGAACAGTCAGTTTTATGTCCGGCAAGGAGATGTGGAGCGTCTGATTGCGCAGGGATATCTGCAAAAGCTGGGTTGAATAATATCAGCCTGGCAGGTTTCGAGACCGAAGCTTGTTGCTGCAGACCAGCAATGGACCACCGCTATCGGCAGCGGTTGCGGACAGATCAAGCAAACCCAGACCATTGATGGCGTGGCGCCCCCAGGCCAGTACCGGAGCGAAAGTGACAGGCTCAACGAGGTTAACCGCAGGTTAAATGGAAGTACAGGCGATCCAGGAAGCCATATGCAATGGTCATTGATCAACAGCCAGACGCTTAAGGGAGCGCAGAGACCCAATTCAGAAGGGTAGCGCCGCATACAGAGCTGACGAGTCCTTGCACCACGATGACGGCAAAAGGTGTCTTCAACCAAATATTTCGAGTCTACATGGGGCATCGAGTTACCATTTCTCCTTCTCAATGGTTGGACCGTTGGTGAAGGACAAAGAAGTGCTTGCATGGACAAGGGGACCATGAGCCCACAACCAGGCGGTAGCTCAGCTTGTAGGGTGCGGGAAGGATGCGGGAAAGGTTACCTTGACGGCCAGACCTGGACCATTGATTCAGGAACCCCCACGGAATCGCCGCGGGGAACGACGGAGACGTCAAGGCTAGTAGAGAGTGACAGCAGCCAGCAAGGGGTTTCACATGGTCCATCAAATTTTTACCAACCAGTGGCCAAGTTTTTGGCATGGCAACACTGTGTTTGTGGCGGCCGAAAACACTCTTTCTCGTTGCTTTGTTGATGGCAGGTACTGAGAGGCAACCTACCTGAGCAAAGAGAGAAGAGACACTGAATAGTCCCCTCACAATGTCAAACTATAGCAACTGTTCAAGAGATAAGAATAGTAATAGCGGTATGTAAACTTTTGACAGTCTTTGCCATGTGCTCGCTGTCAGTCTGACACGTGGAGCAAGATTGACAGTTGCTGGGGTGTAGGTACGTACCTCTAGTAGTGTTCAATTACATACCAAAGAGAAACCAATTCGCACTGGGGAGGCTCTTTGAGTGGTGGAACATGGATTACATCATGCAGATTTTCCAACGGCCTCAACCCCACCACGCCCAGCCTAAAACAACTGGAACCAGTCCAGACCATCCAGCAACTGCTAGTATCATCGGCTTCATGGCCGTACCAGTTCTTGTTCAGTCCTCCTCCGGCGCTACGACAGACGCTACGACGCTGCGACGCTACGACGGGACAGCCGGATGCAACATGGCGCGGTCGGTGCTTGCCGTGTTGCTGGACTTCAACTGACAACGCAAGATTGCTCCATAGAATTTTGCTTCTTATCATCTGCCTGCACTCCTCGAATCGCCTCCAGCTGAGGACGAACCTTCTACGATAGCTCGGCCTTTTTCACTTTTATTATCCTGTATATTTATCACGTTTTCTTTCCTTCGCGGACACCTACATGGCTACATCAGAGGAGGTGCTGTATTTTCTGTACATATCTTGAACCTTTTTTACTTTCCTTCCCGTCGGTCCTCCCGCTCTCCAGTCACATTGCTTGCCGCATTGACGTGCTTTCTTACGTATCGCTTCCGCATCACATCATCCTGCTCAGTCTACATAGCAGTTCAGCTGGCAGGCAAGCATTAACAGTCAGTGACTGCATCTTGCACCTCCCTCATCTGTCACCCCGGAATTTTCGAAACGACCGACGGCTACTCAACTGCCCTTGCCCCTCTGGCAAACCTGGCATACCTGCCTACCTGGCACCGACCCATCGCATACCTATACCGGTAGCACCCTGTAGGGTGTTGCGTCTTTACGACCTCCCATGTCGTCTCCAGCTGCTGGCTTCTCCTCGTGGAGGAGATCTCCCAGACCGTCTTCCTCCGTTTCGCAGTATGCTTCGGCCCAGGAGGAAATAGAGTCTTCGAGTTCCTCCACAATCATCCCAACTAGGTCCGCCCAGGAGCCCTCCAACAATGAGACCCATCAGCTATATTCAACTTCGGTGAATTCAGTTGCCCACCGCGAACCCTTGAGGTCCTTTATTCATGGCTCGGTCCGTGACAATCTAGGTATGACTAGAACTACCCTTCTTGGTTGATACACAACTGACATTCATCTCTTCACAGCTCCTCTAGACAGTTACCAATACGCACAATCCGTCCGCCAGGATACTGCCGAGCTAGCCAACTATTTTCTTTCCGACCCAAAAGACGGACAGAGCCCAGCGTTTCTTAACCGAAGACGATCCTCCGTCTCAGTCCTCGACCGCACAGCTCAGGGCCCAGATACCCAAGGTGCCGAGGAGGGTAATGGTAGGCGCCAGGACACCATAAACGAAGTGTCTGAGCCTCCGTCGCCAGAGGAAACCGATGTCGAATCAACAGCCGAGGGACCATCAATGCTCACCACAATGCTGAGGAGATCACCGCCAACTACAACATATATGCCGGCTTCAAATAACGATGAGTCGCAGGAGGAAGACGAGTCATGGGGAAATGGTGAAAGTAGCAGGAGAGGCTCATGGAAACATCCGGTACCAGTCCAACCCTCAACCGAACGGCAGGCAGAGGCGGCCGATACTTCAGACGAGCACGCGCCGTTGCTTCGGACCACATCTCGCGAGGCTCGGCATAGCTATGGTATGGCCAACGGCTCCAGCCACGATGCTGATATCGAAGACCAAAAGAGTCCGAGAAGGCGATGGACGACAAGACTTGCCGATTCCGCGAGGGATAGAAGAGATCGCATTACCAGCATCGCCAAGGTAGCAGCAAACCCAAAGCGCTGGGATCGTCATGCTCTATGGGAGAATGTCATCGTTGCGCCTGTCACATGTTTACCAGCCGTCATTGTCGGACTCTTGTTGAACATCCTTGATGCGCTTTCGTACGGCATGATTCTGTTCCCATTGGGAAGTCCCATCTTTTCAAACTTGGGATCCGCTGGTATCTCGATTTTTTACGTCAGCACAATTATATCACAGTTGACATTCTCCTTTGGGAGCGTGTTCAAGGGTGGTGTTGGGTCCGAACTGGTGAGTACTTTCGTTCCTGATTTCCTTGAACTGTCCATTGATACTAACAACATTAAAGATCGAAGTTGTGCCCTTTTTCCACAGTATGGCTGGTACCATTACCGAAATTGTCGGCGAAGATGACCCGGAAGCTGTTATCGCAACGACCATCACATCCTACGCGCTGAGCTCGATGCTCACGGGCACTGTTTTCTACCTTATGGGCAAGTTCAAGTTTGGCTATCTCGTGGGTTTCATCCCGCGTCATATCCTGATAGGCTGCATCGGTGGTGTCGGTTGGTTCTTGATCGCCACGGGGTTCGAGGTGACGGCTCGCATGGATGGCAGTCTCAACTATGATCTCGACACCCTGAAGCGACTCATCCAGCCAGACACTATCCCACTATGGACGATACCTCTCGGTTTGGCGATCATTCTGTTCTACGGCCATAAGAAGATCACGTCCAAGTATTTCCTTCCCCTTTATATCCTCACCATTCCTGCCTTGTTCTACATGGTATCGTTCATACTGGGTGGCCCCGACCAAGACTCTCTGCAAAAACATGGCTGGGTGTTTGAGGGACCTCCACCCGGTGAGCCATGGTGGTATTTCTACACTTTATACAGTAAGCATTCTAGCTGATCCGTGACAGACAAGAACATGACTGACTTCTATTTGCAGAGTTCCACAAGGTCGATTGGAGTGCCATTGTGCAGTGTATCCCCGCAATGTTTGCTCTGACCTTCTTCGGCATCTTACATGTGCCCATCAATGTCCCAGCATTAGCACAAAATATCGGCGAAGACCATGCCGACCTCGATCATGAGCTCAAGCTACACGGCTACTCAAACTTCCTGTCAGGGTGCTTTGGCAGCATCCAAAACTACTTGGTTTATGCCAACAGCGTCTTTTTCATGCGCTCTGGTGGAAACACTCGACTGGCGGGTATGATGCTTGCTGCTCTTACTTTCCTCGTGATGATGATCGGCCCTTCCCTGATTGGTTTTATACCGGTCATGATGGTTGGAGTGCTCATCTTCGACCTTGGCTTTGAGCTGCTTATCGAGGCGGTTTGGCAACCAAGGAAAAAGCTGAAGTGGCTTGAATACATGACTGTGCTTGTCATTGTCGTGGTCATGGGCACCTATGACTTCGTCATTGGTATCGGAGTTGGCATTCTTTGCGCATTCGCCGCTCTTATTATCCAAACATCCAGAGTCTCGGCCGTCAGAGCGGTGTACTCCGGAGAGGTCGTGGGATCGACTGTAAGGAGAAACCCAACTCAACAACATTACCTCAGAGATGTTGGAAAGCAAATCAACATCATTAAGCTTGCCGGTTATCTCTTCTTCGGAACAATTGTGAGCGTGGAGGAAAAGATCAGGGCTATGATCTCTGATGAGGAGTTCAACAATCGCCCGATTCAGTTCCTCATCATCGATCTGTGGCTGGTCAACGGCGTCGACTACTCCGCCGGTGAGGTGTTTAACACTATCAGCCGCCTGCTCAACCACAAGGGCATCGAGCTAATTATCAGCGGTGTCGACACCGAACAAGAGCTGGGTCGACACCTAAGAGCGGCCGGTCTCGGTGAAGATGGGATTGACGTCAAGCTTCTCCCTGAGCTCAACTCGGCCTTGGAATATTGTGAGAACGAGCTTCTCAAGACGTTTTATGCCAGTCAAGAAGCAGCTCGTCTTTCGCGGACAGCAGATTCTGTACCTTCAAGCAGCTTGCAGGTGCCCTCTGCCCAAGCATCCTCTCTACAGCCTCAACTAGACCCCCTAGGATCTTCTCCCCGTCGCAGCCACCTCCAGGTGGCAGCTCGCCATGCGCTCAACCAGCAAGCTGAGCAGCAACGAGTGTCAACCAGGTGGCAGAGCTTTAAGGAGCCGCTACGGCTGATGCTGCAAATCTTCCAGGACGTCAGCGACAAAAATGAGGATTTCTGGTTCCGCGCCGTGGGTTACTTCAAAAGGCTTCAGTATCCCGCCGGAACTGTTATTTTCCGGCGCGGGGAGAAGGCGGAAGGATTTTACCTGCTCGAGCAAGGAATGCTCAGAGCCGAGTACGACCTGCCGCAGGGCTGGCTTTGTGAAAGCATCGTGGCGGGAACAACGTGCGGAGAGTTGCCTTTCTTCTCGGAGACGACGAGAACAGCGACGTGTGTGGTCGAGCACGACTGTGTGCTCTGGATGATGGATAAGGAAGGGTGGGAGAAGCTGCAGAAGGAGCAGCCGGATGTGGCGAGGGAGTTGTTGAGGATGGTGTTGAAATTGACTAGCGAGCGGATGAACGTGATCACGAGCTATACGCTTACTATGGCTGGTTGATTATGCTTTTGTTTTTTCAGACGAGTATATATCATGTAGATCGTTACATACCTCTAGCGAATATCATCTACCGTATATGTTCAGCAAGTAGAAACGGCATCATATTCTCTCTGACGAACGAAACATAGCCTAACCAGCTAGCTATATCCCTTCTTCCCTGACTTCCCCCATTCACTCCTTCCTCCACTCAGCCAAGGTTGATACTGCGGGGGAGGCGGACGGCTATCTATATGAACATCCAACTGATCATACCCTCTCCCTTCCATTTCCGTCCTCCTAGAGGTGTTCTCAGGGGTATTATTCCTCCTCTTATTCGTAGAGGTATCCTCCATCATCAAGACCTTCGTCTTCATCTTCCGCCCCTCCTGTTGCTCCTGGGTTTCCATTTTCGAGGCCCCCTTATCCACCTCCCGCGGATTCCGTAGCTCAACAACACTCGACGCCAACTCCCTCGGCCGCGATTTACCAGAAGTAAACATCCCCCAGAACCTCTCCCACGGTCCCATCGTCTCCCTCGAAAACTCCTCCATCCATTCTCGAGGAAACCAACCTTCTTTCTTTCCACTTCCACCCCAGCTAGTTCCTTCCCAGGACATGGAAGAAGCGCTCTGGTAGGAGGAAGCGGGAGCGGCTTGGGTCTGGGTCTGGGTCTGGGTCCGGGCAGATGAAGATGGGATTATGGATGCCTTAACGGGACCTCTAGTACCTCTAGTAAAGGAGAATCCTTGAGCAGTTGTTGAGTTAGGGTGGTGAGACCATGTACCTGCCTTCGGTACTGGTACTGATACTGGTACCGTGTCTGTTTCTGGCAAGGAAGTGGAAGGTATAGTTCTACTTGTACATTGTTTAGGTGCCCCTGCAGGAGGGGCAGGAGGGACCGGACGTGGAACCACACGAAGATGCACGATGGGATCATCCCCTTCTACCAAATCCGCCAAGTGACAGAGTTCCTTGGATGACTCGATCAGTTGAACGTGTTTTTTGTAGATTGGTCTGATGTCTTGTAGGAAGGGAAGCAGGAATCAGTGTTCGAAGAGGGAAGCGCAAAGTAATCTTTTGATTCGCTTTTCGTGGTGCCAATGTAGGCGATCTGAAGGGGTGCATTTGCAGACTAACTTGTCGTCGTACTCACTGGGGGTGAACTGGTCATTAGTACAGCCGCAGTCTCGGTTGAGGAGCTCAATGCCTTCGGGCATGGAGACGAGGAAGTCTATGAAGCGGGGATGGATGGGGACGAGGGCGCGGTTGGCGAAGGGGAGGAGGTCGGCATAGTCATTCCGCTCGTATTCAGTCTTGTCCTTCCCTGACTTTGAGCTTTTTGGAGGCGAGACTTGGTGTTGAGGTTCCATATCCTTCAGCACGACGAAGGGATATAGGTCCTTGTTGAGTTTGTTGGCTGTTAATTGGCAATTTTGCCAGAGGCGGTCAACTGTCTCTGTTGAGGGGTAGAGAGGCAATTTGTTTCCCTCAGCTAGAACAACTTCGAGGAGGGATAGGGGCCGATTTTTCAATCGGACCGAGGTGAAACGATGGGAGTGGTTGTGGGCGAGGATAAGGTTGAGATAGTATGAGATATTGCGGGAGTCGCTGAGTTGGTTGACCCAACAGATTTGAGAAAGCATGGAGCTGTAGAGCCTGAATGCTCTTGGCAGATGGGCGTCAGCATCAGTTCTGTCCCGGTCCAGAAGGGCATCATGGTCGTGAAGTTTTCCGAGTTCCAAATCTTGATCGCAAAGATCATTTTTGGTTTTCATAGCATGGAAAACATGAGGACTAACAAGAGGGCGCTTCTTCTCCATCTTCATCAAATTTGGTCTGGGGATGACGATCCAAAGCGTCTTGTAACACTTGGTAACATCCGTTGGCTTCCCTCACAATTTCTTCCACCGTCTCTTCCATTCTCTTTTGGCGCCATTTCGGGGTCTTCGTGCTGTAACCTTTCTCCAACATACCAAACCTGTGGCGGCAGATAAGTTTCATGTCGTTGCCGTTGATGTCCTGGACACGAAGCATCGGGGCTTCCACGCCAACTGTCACGACTGACCCAGATTTCATGACTTTGCGAGGTAGATGGAAGTCGTGGAAGTCTTTTTCCGGTCTGCTCGCTACGATGGTTTTGATCGAATTCGTTACGGGCATGGCAGCTGTATTACCCTCGATCTGTTCTCTGTCTTTGACTTTGTGCCAAGGCTGGATGTTGCGAACTTTGTCAATGAACTCCGTAAAATGGAAATAGTCCGCGTTGTTATCCTCCCAGGTCTGCGTTCTGAAACCTGATGGTCCGTCCAGAAATATGTAAACCGGTCTGAACGAGTCCAACCCGGTCAACGCCGCAATGAAGTATTCCTCCAGCCACCTGGTTGACCAATGCGAGTTTTCCATGGGAATGAAGTTGTCTTTCCATGCCTCTCGAGGGATGTAACTGGGTAAAGGAACATCCACATCGCTCATGCCCAGTAGTTTGTACCACCTTTGCATGAAGATAATATCAAGCATCAATGGCTCTTGCTCGAAGAGTTGGAGAAGCAGATCGTTGAGCATGTACCGATGGGTGGTGTAGAACGGATCTTGTCGGTCTTGGTAAAAGTAAAAGAGTACAATTGGGTTCCGATCTCCTGGATTTCTGATGGGCTTGAGAATAGAACGGTTTTGAAGAACCGTATCAACGATCAGCCTCATCAAAACGCTTTTACCGACACCAGGATGGCCAGAAATCCAGAAAAGATTTCCCTGGGCTGTGGCGTTTTCTGTGCTGTTCTCCGGCATAGCTTGAAGCCAGTCTATGAAGACCCTACGTCCATCCTCCGGTTCGGTGCTTCCATCACCGTCAGTTGCCAGTATCCATCGAAGCGCGCCAGTCTTCATACTGGGCTTCCGAATGCGCTGATACCGACCGCCTCGCTTGAAGCTGAGCTTCAAACTGTTCATAATATGAGATCGAAGAACGCCAATTGGAGGCCGGTACAGATAACTCTCCCTAAAGTCCCAAAATTTGTCATTGTATCTGGGACAGGCCATCGGGATATGAGGCAGTAGTCCATGTAGTGTCTCGGGCAAAAGGTTGAGGATCTTGTTCGGCTCAAGTCTTCGTCCAGCCTCACCGTCATCGCGAAGAGCGACTACCAGGTTACACACGTTTTGTTCGATTTTCTCATGAGGCAGGTAACCAGAGGCAAAGTGGCTGCAGTTGCAAAGAAAAGCTGCTTCTTGTTCGGAACTGTACGGTGACGAAGTGTATCAGCATGATATCCGTGCATATCGTAACCATGGATACGTACCATAGTGTTCGGAGAAAGCTGGGCTCCAGGATCTCCTTTAGTATTTTGTGCAATTTTTGCAGTTTCGGCTTCGTCTCGTGTCTAAGTGCCGAGAGAAGGGGTTCCAAGGTCAGTATCTTGCAGCGAGGAAAGAAGATTGGTGTTGCCTTACGAATCCGGGTTCCTGGTTCTTATCAAAGACTACATGCTGTATTAGACGCCTGGTCATAGCTGTCGCTCGTCTCATAACAAGAGGGTTGCGGTGCACTATCCAGTACTTACCTCGTACGCATCCCGTAGCACCATCGAGTATGCTAGTATTTTGCTATGCAACACTTGTATTGACGCTACTTTTGGCATGGCCTCGTAGACCTTTTGTAGATGGCAAAGAAGGAGATACTCGCACATCGTATCAAAGAAGTTGTGGTATTTGGCTGCGGTTTCATCCTAGGATACTAGGTATGGCTGGAGTTCATCGAACATCTGGACGGTATAGGCCACCTTGGTGATCAACTGAAGGGCTGCAAATGCGTCCATTCTCACGGAGTCGCCAGACTCAGGACGGACATTCATATAGAGATCCGTCCAGTCACCCATAACATGGCCGGTACGATATGGGGAATAATAATCTGCCATCTCCGTTCGTTCGGGTGGATTTTCCGCTGGCGCGATGATATTGGCTCGGGCAGGCATCGTGGTAGGAGGCAAGGCGTTGCCAGACTGGAAAACGTTCGTTCGTGAGAGCGACGAATTCGAGCTTGGGCTTCTGTTCTTAGTGGATGTCCGAGTCAAATCTGGTAGATACGCATGGAAAGGAACTGACCTGCCTCCCAGTCCCTGCTTTCCATGACTGGAATGGGACACTGACCTGGGCGGCTATCCCATAATGATCACGCTCACATTTGTTCTGTGCCAGGCGTGAGTCTTTGTCTCCCGTCGAGAAAGGCAAACCAACACCAACGAAGACCAACATGGAAGAACCAACGCGACCGAATGACCAACCTTTAGAATTGAGCACCTGCTGAAAGAAATCACGGAATCGTTTCCTGCGCGCCTTCCGTTATTTTCGATCTTGCCAGTTCTGAGTGTCGGAGATCATTCCTTTCCCTTGTGGCCATAACGCACACCAAAGTCTGAGCAACCTCGCAGTCCCGTCGATCACTGCAAACGAAGTCAATGGCACTTGTTTCATGTGGATTCAAGTCATGAACTTGATTGAAGAAATGATAGAAGACGAGTGATGCAAGCCTCACAAACAACCTCGGAAAGAGCACAGTGTCTAACCCTAACCCTAACCCTGTTGACGATCCGTTGTATACAATTGATGCGATGAACCATGATGAGCCCACAGTTCACCGACAAGGATATCTATCACTTGCACAAATGAAAGACGCTAAGCAATGCCAAGATCTCGTGATAGCTTCAACATCATCAGCTTTATGTAACCCACGGAAGAAATATTGCACGTAGTGGCTCATCGCCTCACCAAACAAACCCAACCAGAAAAAGTGCAAAAAAAGAGGACAAGAGCAGGGATCGAACGGCTGACGTCACGATGTAGTGGAAGGGAGTAGAAGAGCCCTATTTGCGTAGCCGGAAGACGCCACCATAGCCGTTACTTCCACTGGAGTGGTCCCCGTTCCTTAGGGCTCATAGGGAGCATTTAAGTATCGCTAGGCCCTAGTACTGCGAGGGTTCCATGTGGCCTGTAGTGCGCAACTACCACGCAGCTCAGCGCACCACACCGCTCGACCACACTGCCATTCTTGTTAAGTGTTGAATACCTGTCAACTTGAGGTCCTTTATGAACCCCCATTTGAGGTCCCGGTCATTTTGGGTGCATGCGACCACTTCCCACTTCTCACTTCCCACTTCCCACTCACCATGCATCATCCTCTCCGCTTTCAACGAGAAAGGTATGTGGGAAGGAAAAAACAGTCGGGCAGGTAAGATACGGAATCAACAAAGATCATTTGCATCGTACGTCTGTTTCCACTAAGTGCAGGACACTGGTTTCCCTCAAGTCGACCAAGTTCTTGACGTTGCCTGTTGGCGATGTTGGCGGTTGGCGGTTGGCACCGGTGCGACCTGAAAACAACATGCCGTCAAGTACCCCCCTGAACCAACGAACTTACATGCCATTGCCATTACAAAGAGACCTCAACTGCCGACCAACTTCCACTTCTTTCTTTCTCAGTGCACAAACAATATCATACAACCGCAATTTGGATGTCAACAGTAGTCAAATAGAAGCGAAAGTTCAGGACATCCAGGTTTTCCCTGGGACCTTGACAACAAATTGAAGCCGTTTCGAAATCGCAAAGAAATAAAAAGGAATACAAAGACCAGAAAGACCGATCTGCTGCGATGGGGAAACCTCATCCAAAGGCCATATCTCATCATCTCATGTTAGACTCCAGTCATATCCAAACTCACCCTCCCTAATCCATGCTGAAACTGGTGTGATCTGGGAGGGCATCTTCGCTACTTATTTTACTACAGCATTCATGGGTTCCTTACCCGAGATACCTGGCTGCCTTGGCATCCGGAGGCCGGCACAGAGTCTTCTTCGCCAGGGGCAGTTTACATGTATGTATGTATGTATGTATGTATGTATGTATGTATGTAATGATGCTGAAAACTGGAACAACGGGACTACAACATCGGTTGGCTCGATACCTTGAGCGATACTCCTATGTATCATCAATATGCCATCCTGGGCTTACAAAACAGTTCTTTGCATATTTTCTTCTGCCCTTTGTTCCGTCTCCCACTTATCCATTAGTACCTTACTCATTCGTTGAAGTCTAATCTCAGGATATTATGTCTTGTTCCGACGAAACGACGCTGAGACTGTCTGGTGATGCCCATGTCGCTAAGGGGAAAACATGTTCCCTGAAATCTCGCCGACAGATGACAATATCTGGTATTTCGAAAATCGCGACCAGACCAAAACCAAGAGACTTCCCAAACCCAGAAAGACCAATATCTGGCGCTGAAGTGGCCCCCTCATAAAAATGCCATCCATATATCATCTTATGTTAGACTCATATCCAAACACAACCCCCCTGATCCATGCTGAAGCTGGAGTAATCTGGGAGAACATCTTCTTATTTAACACCATCATCTACCTGTATAAATACCTGACCCAAAATAGCTGTCCTGGCATTCAGAGGCCGGGTCTGCTTTCCCAATCCGATGTTGTAGGCAATGATGCTGAAAATAGGCACAATGGGGACCCGGTGTCGGCTGGTTCGGGGTGGTTTGAAGGACACTCGCCTAGAATGGTATGCAGCACATGTTGCAGTGAGCTCACAACCAGTTCTTTGTTTTGTTTTCTGCTTTTGCTTCATTCGGGCGTAGTTTGAAGTATGATCGGGATAGGTAGTGATGCTTTAACGAAAGATTAGAGGAAAAGGGAAAGACGTCGACGCCGAGCGTAGATGCCCGCGCAGTCTAGAAGGAACCATCCCATGTCAAGGTAGACAGATGATTCCTACCAATATAAGCTGTTCTTGTTCACCCAACAAGCACATACGACCATAGATGGTAGAAAAGTCGTGATCCCGTCCGCTCTCCCATAGTTGTCTGGTGTGTTTGCCTGGCAGTGCTGCGTCGATTCTTTTGGAATGAATTCCGATAACATTGAGAAGAGGAAGGAAGCAGCTTACCCTGACGACGGATATACAGCTGGAGTTCACCCTGTCGCAAGAACGGCGCTAACAATCAAACCAGCATTGAACTGTAAGGATCATCGCGGTTATATCAGTTTTGACGTAGGTAATATCGGTTTTGACGTAGGTAATATCAGTTTTGACGTAGGTACAATTTGACCGAGGCGAATAAAGCGATTGACCGACTGTTACCGCCGGGTTTAAATGCCGGGAATTAGCTCTGGTCAGATTAGCCGAGACCTTACGTAAGACGCGACCTGGATAATCCGACTGTGTTCGATTCCAATCCGACTGTGTTCGATTCCAATCCGACTGTGTTCGATTCCAATCCGACTGTCTGGAGCCTGTCCGACCAATGGCAGAGTCATGTTTGCTCTGCGCTTCTTCGTCGGGCCACCCAAGAACTTGGGGTTAAGGTTAGTTCTGGGGGTGCAGGGGGCCGGTGGGAGGTCCCCGCGTAAGAATATATCTTTTGCGTTGCGAAGGAGTGTTCATTTGGACGTTTTTTTGGCGATGTTCGAATGCGCATTTGGGTGATGACATTTGGCGATAGTTGCGCGGGCGAAGACGATGCCAAGCTTTGGGGTCTTGGCTGTCTCTGCCCGCGAATTTGTATGGCCCTATATAGTCGGCTTGAATGGGACACAGTCGGATTATCCGGCCGGTGACTAGCTCCCTTAACCCGAGAGACTGGAACCAGTCCTCGTAGGGTAGCCAATCAAATGCCCAAGTAGCATTAATAACGCAATCGGTAGCGCGCAAGGGTGAACTCTTCCAAACTTCCCTTATGTTTCCCATCTACAATAACACAACCCACAAATGAGCAGAAACTCTCGTTCTTTTTCGAGCAACATTTCGAGGCTATCTTGCATCTTCATTTTTGCTTTGATCGTTCTACGACGAAAATGTCATCTTCGAAAAGTCTTCGCCTTCGGGACTTGATTTTCTTGATGACTTCCGCTTGACTTTCTGGCCCATGTCACAGGCAGGAGGGCATTGCGGGTCTGTTTGGTGCGGTACAAGAAATTGGACTTTCGGAGCTGGTTAACTTGCGCCCTACCGAGTTCGCAATAATAAAGCTTATACAGGCAGATCCCGACATCCTAGCTCGGGGGTTTAACGACCTTTGCTTTTAGCTTCTTGCGTTGAAGAATTCGTTTTGGCCGTTGAACAACAACTTCCAGAACGGGTCAGTGTTGCGTGACAGTGGGCTCGCTCGCTGTATGTCGGCATTAAGGAAGGAAGAACTCGATCGATCTTCCCCGGCACGGGTTCCGCTTCCGCGGTCACGTCTCTACAACCTAACCCTTGCCAGGAACGGTGCACAGCGACACAAGTTCTTCACATCATTGCCAGGTCAGGAATGGCGAGATCGACTACACATCAGCGGGGCGCATTAACGGTTTAACGAAGCCCACTAGCGCGAGGGTATTCGAAAGAACTTTGACGAATTCTCACTGCGGGTTCAGGCGTTGGAATTTCACCTCCTCGAGCATATACAGCCAATACTGGAGATGACTCGTCTGGGCTGTCCTTAGTAGAAACCAAGAGTGCAGCACTATACTTTGCTCTTTGACTAAGGTATAAATGTCCAGCTCTCTCGCGCCGGGTATTATCCGTACAGATGTAATCAGTGCTAGCGAAGGCTGAACAGTCCCCAAGCGAGCGAAGTGGCACTAGTCCCCGCCCCCCTCCCCCTCCTGATCGTGATCGTTGAGTTTTGTTCATACGCGTAATTTCTCCTAATATCCGCATGGGGGAACTATGCCTTAACTAGTACCAACCTAGCTCCCTTAAGCCTTATGTTGTTCGCTTGCGGAAGCAAGTTGGTGGTCCAGACATTGAGATCGAAGCTGTCTGACACACTCTAATCTTGGCATTGCCACCTCCGGAACAGATTCAGGGGCGAGGAGAGTGTAGATAGAGGTCAAGTTTACAAAGAGGGTGGTGTCCGTGCGAAAATACACATGCTCGTCCAGCACTCTTGTTTCGTCTTACTCATCACCTCAGATCCGTTTACCGTGAGAATCGGGAGAATCACACAACGTACTCAATATGGTGCTCTATGCGGACCGCGGACCGAACGTAGCCGCGGCTGTCATCACGATGGTGAGTCCAAGGTCCTCTTCCATTCCCACGGCGCTATTGTCAAGTTTATGTTGTCGCTTCGTATCACTGGGCTAACATTGTCTTATAGTAAGTCAGAACAGATCATTGTCTCTTGCTCCCGCAGTATCTATCTTCTGGATACCTACCCTCCCCTTCCTTGCGTTGGACGCCCATATCATCAGCGTCACTTTTCCCCCAAGATCTTCCTGCCATCCGTATCCGGCAACATCTTTTCTAGGAGCATACCACGTTTGTGGATTCGAGCATGCTTACCTAACTTTGGTTTATCAGATGTTGTATCGGCTACATCACCTACTTTCTCCGAGTCTACACCCGACTACGATACGCACCATGGGGTAGAGAGGACTGGTTCATGACGGCGGCACTGCCCGCTTTTACCGTGCTTTCAATAGGATGTATTGCCTGCGGCTTCACTGGTATTGGCGCCACAAATGCAACCCTGGCACTGCCGGAAAACCAAAAGTACCGGGAGATAGGACTATTCGTGAGTGAACCCCCTAACGACACCGTTCCTGACTCGGAGGGAGGGTAGGCGGCTGACTACGAGATGTGGGAGAGATTAGTGGTTCTTCATATTTGAGGTTTTTTACTGCGTCAACATCATTCCTGTCAAGCTATCCATTAGTCTGGCGCTCATTCGAATCGCCGAGGTATGTTCGTCTCATACAATTTGTCGTCTCGGCTGCTCCATCGTCGAGATACTAACGAGATGACCTCAACAGAACCGAAAAGGTTATATTTACGTGCAATACGGTATCATGACCATGTTCACCATTATGAACATGATTGCGGGTTAGTAGTACTTGTAGCCCTTTCCAGTGTCGGCCATTATACTTGAGATCGATGGATTTGGCTGACACTTGTGCGATACTCGTTTCATTATAGGCTTCTACATCATCTTCCAATGCAATCCGGTCAGCGCGGCCTGGGATACAGATGCCCTACAGGATGGAGCGAAGTGTAACCCGGCGGAGTACATGGCGGACATTTACTGTAAGTCGCGTGATAAAAAGACAGAGACTGGATATGGATTCCATACTTACCACAGACACGTTCACCAGATGCCACAACTGCGGTCAATATCTTCACAGATTGGGCCACTGCTTTTATGCCTATCCCGCTGCTCTGGAACGTTCAGCTGAGCCGAAACACCAAGATTTCTGTTATATGCGTGCTGGGCCTAGGCTTCTTTGCCTCCATATCGGCCTGTGTCCGGCTCAAATATACCGTCAATCTCACAGCCCAAGATGACTACCTCTGTATGTTCCGTTGAAGTGGATACTTCCCACACTACAAGAACATACTAACAGTTGATTCATCACATCAGATGCACTTGCCGATATTGTGATTTGGGGTTATGCCGAGAGTATGATCCTACCTACCTATGATTCCGTCAGTTTTCTTCTGTACATAATGCTAACTTTGTATGTCTTCCGTCCAGACGGCATGGGACTCATTGTAGGCTGCACGATGACACTGCGCCCACTCCTTCGCGAGATTTTGCACTTGGGCGGCGACACGTCCCACAAACAGAGCAATGGCACAAGCGGTGGCCGCTACGGTTTCGGCACCAACTACGCGCAGCGCCGCACCAACCAACATATTACTATCGATGACGACGACGGCGCGCAGCCTAGCGAGAGTAGGGAACATGTGTCCTCCTCAGACACGTACGGAAACGGCATAACCTTGACGCAGATCTCCTGCACAGGGAGAGGACACCAAGAAGAAGACTTCTCCAGCCATAGCTTCGATACGGAGAGTCAAAAGAAGATACTGATTGGGGATGATGATGGTGCAGCTGGAGGCATCATGGTAACCCGAGATTTCAAGCTGTTCCGCAATGATTAGGATAGAAGGAAGTAATGGGCGTGGAGGACGGCAGGCTGCCTTATATGGGAAGGTTTGAGTGGGCTACGGATTGACGCGTACATGTGAATTTGTTTTGTAGAGGTACTGCTGCGAGGCACAATGTCGATAGAGATATCTTGGGTCCAGTTTGAGTGGAAATACCAATCCTTTTCTTCTCTCCAAGCTTGATTCAACGAAAGAAGAGCTTTAAACCGTCGAACCATTTGGTATGGTTGCGACTAGTTAAACAGAGGCTTGTATTGCTAGGTACTAAACGATTGATGACTCCTGTTGCCGATGTGTCTGTGCCATTCTTGACGGCGCTCGTCGCCAGCCAAGTAGAAAACCACCAAGTATCAGTGCTACTATTCCCAAAGCAATCTGAAGGCGTCTCGTGGGGGAAGTCAGACGGATTGTTCCTGCATAAGGTACCATTGCTACGTTATGCAGGTACCGCGTGGGTTAACGATGTTGTGCATCTCTTGGCCGATCAAATTGTCCATTTTAGCCCGTCCCCACAAAATAAAGGAAGGTAGACCAAGGTAGCTGATAAGGAAATTGTTACTGTTACGACCTCACAATTGGTTCGACCCATGTAGACGGTAAAATGGATAATTTGATCTGGAATGATCGAGTTGACGGGAATTGAAGCACCGTTTGTTTGCACAACTGGGAAGTAAGCCATTTCCAGCTTTGAATGGCAGCATGGAGAACATCTAGAGACGCAAGTGGGCGCATCTAGAGGGTAGGTATGCGACGGATGAAATTCTACGCAAAGGCCGATGGACTCATGCGCAATGTTCGTATCATCGAGGACAGGCCCATCCGGGATCATTTTCCCAAGAAATGGTCCGTCATACATCACAATTGAGCGCAGCCCAACACTTCCGATGGCATGCTCATACCGTAGGTAGCATCGGAGCTGATGGCAACTCATTGGGTCCAGATTATTAAAATGAAAAGAAAGACCGCATGGGGAAGCCGATCTCCGTTGGGGACCGGTTTGGCGAGAAGAAAATAGATTGCGTGCAGCCAGTAGCGAGTGTAGATCTTGTCTCGTCTGAGAAGAGTGGCTCGCGTGGCATTTTGAGTCTGAATCAACGATGCAGAAATGGAAGTTCGTTTTGTCTCTCTGCCGGTGAAGTCATCATCCCTTGCTTGAAGGTTCGTTGAAGGTTTGAGGTCTTACCTTACTGCATCCTGCATCCCGTCTGCAGCTTCAGGGTCCTCCCTCCCACGGGAAGAGAGGCCGACAGTGGGAGAGCCTTCGTTTATGGTAAGCGATGGTAAAGCTCTGGTGTGCTCGTCGGTTGATCCGTCGTGGAGTTGTGGCAAGGCCCAGGGGGGGCACTGGGGGCAACACCCACATCCCGTCACATTGCGGCAAGACTCCCTTCTGCAATCTGCAAGCCCACGGCACGTACCTGCGTTAATGAAGTGCGCATGGTCTTCTTTCATGTTGGATTGATCCCGGGGGTTGTTGGAAGGATTCGGGGAACTCCTTTAGTTCCGCCTAGGAGCGCCTAGTATGACGGAGGCTTATGGTTGTGGTTCAGTTGTGGTTGTGGTTGTGGTTGTCATTTCAGCTTCGAATTAGTGTATCAAGTCCGCCTTGAACTCTGGGTTTCTTTCATTGCCTCTCAGGGCAGGCACTGTCATACCCACCGGTAGTCAACTTGGCCTTTTTCCGAGTTTAATTGCGCCTCGAATCAGCCATGGTACTCAGCTGTGTCTCGAGTCTGCGATTCGAGAATCGCTGCAGCAGGTTCATCCAATTGTGATGTGTCGGAGAGAACAGCAGCGGCCATGTGATAAAACGAAAGCACCCCAAGCAAAACGTGATTGATATGTACCTTATGGCCCAAACAGGCCCACGCAAACCACGCCGTACCTAGCTCATAGGAGATGTGCTTCCGATGTCCACTCAGTAGGCCGTGGATCCCATAGACCTGATAGGTGAGATGGGCTGCACAGCAAACGATTTTGAAGTGATCTGCACGTGCGAGAGGGCAATCGCAAACGACGAAAAACGAAAAAAGGCCGAGGAAAGGTCGAGCTGTGAAGGTCGAGATCGATGGGATGTGATGAGGAGGTGATGGGAGGGTAATATCGAGCGGAGAAGAAGCCGTTAGCGTTCATGGCGTGTGAGTGCGGATGCGAAATGTCTGCTGCTACCCCACGGCACTGCCTTGCCTCGTCCCGGCCTCATCATGACGGGATGCGCTGGGTTTCATGGTGTAACAAGAGGCTTCGACGCCACAACTCTCATTACCGCGTGAGGTGCCATAATGTCTGCCGGTGTTCCATCATCCATCTCGTAAAATCATTGTGGGAAAGGAAAGAAATAAAATCTGAAGATGTCGTTGACCAGTGACCACACGGGGGCAAATATATGTAGTGTAAAGAAACCCCACGCGCTAAAGATTCCTTGTCTGAGTGGTCATGGAGCCTTGCTGGCATGCCCCTGGGAGACATGAATGGGCCGGGCCCAAAGCAGGTCCCCTCCCAAATCGGCTTCATTAATCCTAAAGTCGAATTTGGGTGGGACTGCAAGGGACACTGGGAGCAGGGGCCCGGTGATGGTTCGTCAAATTGCATGTTCCCAACAATGGCAATAACTCTTCTTGTTGGACAGAGCGTGCCATGGAACCAGTGGCAGGCATGATGGCCAGCACTCTGGGAGTGTGTAGTTTTTAGGCGATGCCCGGGAAGGTTGAGTGACGGGGTGAGGTCCTACTCTTGGTGGGTTGAAGCCCAGGTTGCAGATGGAGACAGAAAAAGAAGCGGCGAAAAAGCCAGAGTGAGGGCTTGGACAGAACGACCAGACCCCCAGGACTCATCACCTTTGGGAAATGGGCGTTTCTCTGCTCATCTCGAGCTGTCCAGGTTTCTCCTCTTTCCCGCGAACTCGAGGTCTTGCTTGTCGTCGTGCCCTTTGCTTTCTCTTATCCTACAGCTTCAACCTAACCCGGGGGCCAGGCAATGAGACCCTGACGCTGACGCACCAACTGAAAGTGGAAGCCCCTGAGCCCAGAGCGACCATTGGACAATCATTGTTTTCGTCGAACGCTGTCCTACCAGACGTCTTCGTCAAGCTTTCCGTGCTTGCATCCACCTGCATCCTCTGGTATTCTCATCTGATTGGAGGCTCTTGAGCGCGGCGATTCAGAAATCAGAAATCCCACGATCTACGCCGCACGAACAGGAACGACGAATTCCTCTGCATTGTGATAGCTTCCCACGAGAGAAACTATTGCGGCCAACCTCTTCAGCCTATCCCGTTCACAGCGAAGATTGCTCGAAGACACAGGCAGGATCAGAATTGAAGTGCAGGCCATTGCAACCGCTACAACTACCTCTCTTACCTGGACTTACCGCCCCGCGCTTTTCGCGCATAGGGGACTGCATACCTAGGTCGTTTCCACAGGGCAACTCGGCCGTGGAGGCTTTCCCGCTTGAAGGGTCTGGGCTGAAATTCGCTTAGAGCAGGGCACCGGACAGCCGACCCTTCAGTTTCTTTTAGTCATTCTGCTCAGCTCACTTCGACCTTTTTTGCATACTCCAACCTAACGTTCGCTATTTTTCATGCTTGTCGTCAATCATCAACAAGGCTCTTCACGAACAGTCGCCAGCCTCCTCCGATATTCCAAAGAAGGTCCACCATATACACCGTGCTCCCCTGCTACGTCGGTACATACTTCCCGCATCCGTGGACACCCAGAACACCACAAACCACCACCGCCCAGACACCAGCGCCGTCCGATCTTTTTGGCGCTGTCGCCCTCCACACTTTCACAACTGCACTCTACGGCCTTCCGTACTAGCATCATTCGTTTGGCGACACTCACCGACCACGAAAAGCAATCGACGACAACCGACGACAAGCGAAGCACCATCTACTACGACGACCACGAAGCCACTCAATCCGTGTTATTTCAAGCCGCATCAGCCCACGTTTCTCGCTGTCCCCGTCCTCTGTCTTGGGAATAGGGAGTCTTGCGATATTAGTCTGCACATCTTCCGCCGCCGCCGTTTGGTCGACGACGTGGCCACACCTCCTTTTCGTAGCGACTGCAGAACTCTGAAGAAACTGTCGCAGATCATCGGCGCCATTTCTACGCTATCCTACGATTCTTCAACTCGCCCTTCCCTCGTTGGTAAGCAAAGACATTTTACCGCCTCCACATCTCTCGCTCGGGGTTGCCAAGTGGGATGAACAAGCCCGTGCGGTGTGCCTGAACGCCGGTGTATTCCTTCGGTACCTTTACCGTGGTTAGGTGACTCCACAGCGTATACCACTGGCATGTTTGTTCCGTTTCGGTTCCTGCCCTCCGCAATCCACAATGGATGTTTAAACACCGGGGTTCCAGTTCTTGAAAAAGCCCCAGCTGCATGGCACTAACAAAATGTTTCTGTTTCTAGGCTCAGGTGCGGTCCATATCTTATGAATAGATACCCCTCTGCTTCGATCCCGCCGAGCACCGTTTCATACAAAGTCCGACCCGACGCTTCGGTCCACGGCACAACCGGTGTCGGTGTAGACGTATCACGTATCTGGCCCAGTGCTTCGTACTCGAGTCTTCTGCTCGGTCAAGCTGCGGTTGGAGCCTCTTCGCTGGTGGTACACGTAACTAGAACCCACTTCATGGACATCGTCAAGCTTACGGTCGATTTGCGGCGATAAACCAACCAGACAACGAGACTAAGCGACTTCTGCAGGATTTGCAAATCACCCCTGCTGAATATCTTCACACCTCACAATGTCTACCACAGTACCGAAGCCGGCCCGGCTATCAATGGGACCACCCAACTCCTCTCTCCCCGCGCTTCCTATGGGCAAGACGCGGAAGTCCGTAGGCGGACTGTCCCTTTCAACCAACACTGCGATGCCATCAACACCCAAATCTGGCGTTCTTCGAACCCCATCAAGCGCTTCCAACTTCCGCAGCTCTACAGCATCACCAGCAACTGGCGGAGGCCTACCCCAGCCGCGCGCAGTT